GCACTTAGTCCCCAGGGCTCTCCCCCCTTGGGCGGAGCACTTAGTCCCCAGGGCTCTCCCCCTTGGGCGGAGCACTTAGTCCCCAGGGCTCTCCCCCTGGGCGGAGCACTTAGTCCCCAGGGCTCTCCCCCCTTGGGCGGAGCACTTAGTCCCCAGGGCTCTCCCCCTTGGGCGGAGCACTTAGTCCCCAGGGCTCTCCCCTTGGGCGGAGCACTTAGTCCCCAGGGCTCTCCCCCTTGGGCGGAGCACTTAGTCCCCAGGGCTCTCCCCCTTGGGCGGAGCACTTAGTCCCCAGGGCTCTCCCCTTGGGCGGAGCACTTAGTCCCCAGGGCTCTCCCCTTGGGCACAGTCCCCAGGGCTCTCCACTTGGGCGGAGCACTTAGTCCCCAGGGCTCTCCCCTTGGGCGGAGCACTTAGTCCCCAGGGCTCTCCCCCCTTGGGCGGAGCACTTAGTCCCCAGGGCTCTCCCCTTGGGCGGAGCACTTAGTCCCCAGGGCTCTCCCCTTGGGCGGAGCACTTAGTCCCCAGGGCTCTCCCCTTGGGCGGAGCACTTAGTCCCCAGGGCTCTCCCCTTGGGCGGAGCACTTAGTCCCCAGGGCTCTCCCCCCTTAGTCCCCAGGGCTCTCCCCTTGGGCGGAGCACTTAGTCCCCAGGGCTCTCCCCTTGGGCGGAGCACTTAGTCCCCAGGGCTCTCCCCTTGGGCGGAGCACTTAGTCCCCAGGGCTCTCCCCTGGGCGGAGCACTTAGTCCCCAGGGCTCTCCCCTTGGGCGGAGCACTTAGTCCCCAGGGCTCTCCCCTTGGGCGGCACTTAGTCCCCAGGGCTCTCCCCTTGGGCGGAGCACTTAGTCCCCAGGTCCCCCCCTCCCTTGGGGAGCACTTAGTCCCCAGGGCTCTCCCCTTGGGCGGAGCACTTAGTCCCCAGGGCTCTCCCCTTGGGCGGAGCACTTAGTCCCCAGGGCTCTCCCCTTGGGCGGAGCACTTAGTCCCCAGGGCTCTCCCCCCTTGGGCGGAGCACTTAGTCCCCAGGGCTCTCCCCTTGGGCGGAGCACTTAGTCCCCAGGGCTCTCCCCCTTGGGCGGAGCACTTAGTCCCCAGGGCTCTCCCCTTGGGCGGAGCACTTAGTCCCCAGGCTCTCCCCTTGGGCGGGGCACTTAGTCCCCAGGGCTCTCCCCTTGGGCGGAGCACTTAGTCCCCAGGGCTCTCCCCCCCTTGGGCGGAGCACTTAGTCCCCAGGGCTCTCCCCTTGGGCGGAGCACTTAGTCCCCAGGGCTCTCCCCTTGGGCGGAGCACTTAGTCCCCAGGGCTCTCCCCTTGGGCGGAGCACTTAGTCCCCAGGGCTCTCCCCCTGGGCGGAGCACTTAGTCCCCAGGGCTCTCCCCCCTTGGGCGGAGCACTTAGTCCCCAGGGCTCTCCCCCTTGGGCGGAGCACTTAGTCCCCAGGCTCACTTAGTCCCCAGGGCTCCCCTTGGGCGGAGCACTTAGTCCCCAGGGCTCTCCCCTTGGGCGGAGCACTTAGTCCCCAGGGCTCTCCCCTTGGGCGGAGCACTTAGTCCCCAGGGCTCTCCCCTTGGGCGGAGCACTTAGTCCCCAGGGCTCTCCCCCCTTGGGCGGAGCACTTAGTCCCCAGGGCTCTCCCCTTGGGCGGAGCACTTAGTCCCCAGGGCTCTCCCCTTGGGCGGAGCACTTAGTCCCCAGGGCTCTCCCCCTTGGAGCACTTAGTCACTTAGTCCCCAGGGCTCTAAGAAGGGAAAAACAAAAACAATATAAATAAACTTACCTTTTTACTTACCTTTTGTTAGGTATCTTAAGTGTTTTTGTGTGTATTTTGGACAGTTAGTTTACGCTGAGAAATTTAGCTTTGGGTAAGGTTTCGTTTTGTTTACGAAACCAACCTTTCTTTACTAAATTTAAAAGCGTAAACTTCTTTTAGATGGTGATATTTTCGGTCTGTCAGGCCTTGAGAGGTTTATTTTATAACTAAATACAACATGCAGTTTTTTTGGTATATATTAAACCAGAATTGTTAGAGAGGCCATAAACCTCACTTTGAAGTTTTCTTGAAAAAAGATGTAACATGAAAAGAAATATAGCTTAATTGATGAGCCTCGAGACCTTATTAAAAATAATGACCGAGCGCGTACTTTTCCATAGTTTTTGAAAAGCAGGTTATCATTATGGTCACTGAATTGAAACAGTAGTTTATTATTTCTAATAATGATCTTCTGTTCCACCTCAACGACCTCTTCTTAAAATTTATTTAAAATAATAACCTGTTCAAAACAATGGAAAATTGCATGAAGATTCGACTAACCGACTGTGTTGTGCAAAAAATGAACTTACCATATAGGTTTGGTATATACTGAATAAATGACAGACACACAAATGAGTTGGCTGCATATCCTTGTTAAGGACCGTGGCAGTACGTTTATTGTTATTTTGAAGACTTCCTTGCAAGGCAAATTGTTCTGCTTTTCCTTATGGTCGGGTAGTACCTGTTAAAAAATGGAAAGTGTTATTTGTTGTTGTAAATATCACCGTAAAAACGTCTAAGAATTGCACTCCAAATTAACCTTATTTTCTTGTTTAACTGGTTTCTCGTTACCTTCACTTTTATTCACACCTGTCTTGCCTGTCTGTCGACTATTATCTTATGTCAGCCTGAACCGTCCCGGGAGCATTGTAATTCTCTGCTGGTGCAAGCTAAGCACTTTACGCCAAAATTGCCATAAGGCCAACAGTTGGTTCACGTTTTGCATCCCGTTTGTGCGGCATAAAAGCATAATTTAAATTCAAATCGTTCATTTCTTAATAAGGTCGCAGTTAATCAATTATAAAAGCATATAGTCTGAGTCAGAGTAATAAAAAACTGTCCAACGTTTGACGTTTATTTTATATTTGTAGCCACTGAAGTGAACACTTCTTTAATCAAAGCAAAAAATTCTAACTACATAGCATCAACAAAATAGGCCTATTTGACCCTAACATACGCAATTTGCGTTTATCTTGTTGACTATACCGTAAACCTTTATTACATATTTGTCCTTCCAGTTCAACATTTATCGAGCCCACATAACAAAGGGACCATGCATTTTCACAGGTAACTTCGGGCGACAATAACGCACAGAAGAAACATAAAGTTCAACTAAGAACAAACCTGTCGTTTTCGAGGAGGCAAAAGAGATTCTTGACTTTCATTCCAGACCAGAGATCGCCTAGCTGAGTTTGATCTTCACTGTACCGCAGGCAATGAAAGGTAAGGAGGTTTCTGGCATATAAACACAGTTAAATCAACTTGAAATTGGTGTCACCATTTATACGGTCGCTCGATTAAAATTCAAACCAGCGTGAGAAATGTTTTTGATAAATCTTTTCTTGAAACTGTATGTGAGAAAAGCACGTACTCTATGTTCAACAATGGGCAATCAAAGCATAGGTTGGTCACATTCAAAGAAGAAACGTTTGCCGACTCGCTCGATTACATAACGTTGAAAACATTACTAGTGGATAAGTATGGGACTTGACAATACATTGAGAAAAACAGTACTCCGTTCATCAATGAACAATTAGACTAACGCTTGAATTAGACGCATTCAGAAAAAAAAATGCCGATTTGATTAAAATTTAACAAATCGATACAAAACTGGCTAGTGAATGAGTAGACAATAGGCCTTTCGCCCCAAGAGAAATTGAAAACAATGCTAATGCAAATTTTGGAGGGACAACAAAGAGTATTATGGTATTTTTGAAAAAAGGCCTATAGCCGTGTGAATTACCACAAGCTAGCCCCTGAATAAATTTAAAAGTACCGGGAAAGAAACATACAAACTTTTCAAACTTCTCGGTCGACAATAAAAGCGCAGAAAGTTAAGGAAAACTAGTGTTCAAGAATTGCTAGCACAAGAACCATTTTGACTCCTAACATTTGATTGCTCAGTGATGTTGATCACCACTATCAGCTATTTGACAAAACTAATGAATATGCGAAGACTAACAATATCCTGTTACGCACTCGCTCGTCACGACTAAAGTTAAAGGTGCGCAAAAGCGAGAATACAAGCTTTAAAAACTGTTAGGTAGACAAAAATAATCATTCATTCGAAAAGCGCAGCAAGTTGAGGAAAACTTTTGCTTAAAATTGCCAGTTAAAAAAATCACTTCTATCACACTGACAGATGAAAAGCTCGCGTTCAACGAAAATGCCGCGAGAAACACAATATTGAGGAGGTCATTGATCATAGCATGGGGTTATTAGTTTCTGGGATCACAAGAATAGTGGAGCGGATTTATGTGATCACATGCATCAGGCCCGGCTGGTACAAACTCTTCCCCCAAGCTGGTCATTTCGTTTTCGTTTATAACTTCGCTTGATTTTTCTCGATCGGGAGACCACCCTTCAAAGCAACTGGGACCCTCTCCCTTGTCTCTTTTTTTCCTCCCTCCCCTCCCCTCCCTTTTTGTGCCTACAATCAGGCTAATTAATACCTAATAATGTGAATCAAGAGTTCATAGTGAAGAATAAGCAATTCATTCATAGGAAGAGGGAGGAATATTCCGGTATTTATGCTATATAAGAGAGATTAAGATTCACGTTTACCACAAACGGCAAACGTCATACTCAAGTTGAGAATTTCTCAGAATAGAAAATAAGCAGATAAAAACAGTCCTGAACGATTCCTCTGGTTAAAACTGGCATAAAACTACTTATTCTTGTACAGAAGCAATGAAGAGGAAACGGAAAATAAGGGAGAAACTTGATCACGTGGTACAAATTCACGTCTGCCGTTTGGCGTAAACGTGAATCTTAATCTCTCTATAGGTATATGAAACCCCAGAAACTGTCCCGTATAAACTGCACATTTCGCTTGAGATAAGACGCGGCTTAGCTAAGATGTGTCTTCTTCATCTACAACTTTAATTTCTAACAGTTTCCCATTATAAAGATATGATCATCTAGAGCTCACAGCATTGACAGATCAGGAAAGCTGGAGGTCTAAAAAATGCCGCCATGTTGGTAGATGGATCTAAGAACAGTTGTTAAGGGCTGTTTATCAGTTCTCTCTTCATCAGGTCTATTTATAGTTACAGTCTTTGTTTTTCTCCATCAAAATTATATCACTGACTCAAGTGCTCTAAGCCGAATGATAAGGTGAAACGTCGCGAAAAGCTATTTGGTCATTTGCAGGTAGTTTTATTTTTTTGTTTTTTAAAAAAACAAACATAAAAAAAGATCTGACTTAGAAATTTGTCAATAACGTGAGGAAATACTTGATACTTAATATTATCAGTATTCCGTATACCGGCACTTGATTTTATACTTTCTGTAACTGACATCAGTCAATTTTCAGAGTCTAATACATATATTTGCCAGCCTGTTATGCAGGCTAGGTGATGACCAGCGTCTTCTCTCTTTAGCTACGCCCTGTAAAGATAGCCGATACAATTTGACTGTCGATAATCGATTCTTTGTGATGAATTTTTGACGTTTTCCAACGCTATTTCTAATTTCGACAATTAACCTCTTTAAATAAGGCTACTAAATAAATTATTAAATGGAGCTAGAAAGAAAAATTATTTACAGTATACAACTGTTGTTGCTATGAATTATGCATATATTATCGGAGGTCTTGTAAATTAATTGTGCTTTCTGGATAAGTGTCTCCGTTCCCTTCGTCTTGCTCTGAAGAGCTTTGATTGTCCATATATGGAGATAAGCCTTCTTTTTCCATAACTTCACTTTGCGCAGACGCACCGGGTAGCGTTGAACTAGATTCTAAAGGAATCTCAATGGTGTTACCATGGTTACCACATGTATTGACATCCACATGTTCCACTTCCGGTACATGAGCTGTTGTTGAATCAGTTACTGGTCCGTGGGATAAATTGATTTGAAACGAATCCCTGGGAATATGAACCGTGGCAATTCCCTCAGGGGACTGCTGGATTTGAGCCACTAAGACGTCAGCCTCATTTTCAGTGTCTGAGGACTTGACTTCATCCTGCAAACCAACAGATGTCAAATTACAATCGCTTTTTTTTGGCATAATAATTATGCAACTTCAGGAGCTCAAAATGAAGGTTTATGAAATGTCTTACGTTAAGAAGCCAAGGATCCAGATGCAAGCGAATAGCTTTTGAAGCTCAGGTATGCGCAGAAAGCAAAATTTATCTCCTCCACTCTTCTTCTGCTTTTCTTCCTCCACTTTTTTTTCTTTTACTGGGCATTTTAGAAGGCTTCATTTTGGTGGGAAAAGCTTTTAATTTAGGAAAGCATTTAGGATCTTGCGATTAGATGAAAGGAAAGGTCGGCGGGTAGTGGAACAAGAGGAATTTTCAGGTTAACGTTACGTGTTTTTTGCCCTTTTCTCCGGCCTCCTTGACTGGATCTTGTTCATTCTGATATGGTTTGAAGATCTCTTCACCCTGCACAAGTGAGATGACAAAGTTGTCCTGATGACGTCACAAGCTGTAGAAGGGACTCGGATACACACGGGAGGTTCAGGGGCGAATGGCTTAACATACGAAACTTACAAACAAACCTGAAATATAACAGCAGGCGGCGCAAACTGATCCTCAGGGTGAACATCTCGAAAGTCAAGAGTTCTGGACCTTTTACGAGACCGACCTGATGACACAACACTTTTAACAGCAGGGTGTCCTCCAGTTCCATCTTGTCCCGCTTCACTTGTTATATGACTCATCATGCTGGTTATACACAAATCAAAGTTTCCAGAGAGCTTGGTTCCGTCCACTCCAACCACCTCTGTCCTTACCTGGGCGGCAGGTGAAATTGTGTCATCACTAGTACTTCTCACGACGAACTCCGTTACATCAAGTTTTGTATTATTTTCTAGGTCCTCGGTAACAAATTGCTCTTGTTGAACTGAGATTGGCACTTGAATTCCTGATATACTTGCTTCCTTCATTTCTCCATCTTCTGACTGTTTCTTTTCTGTTTCCAATGCAAGTTCAGTCGAAGGAGACACAAGTGGGATGCCTGTGGAAAGTGAGTTGCCTGTGGAAGTAACCAGGGCACACAATGTGTTTGGCTGCAATGAAGCGGGTATATGAATACCAACTGCTGAAAGACGTGCAGCATCATCAAGGTTAAAATTGCTTGGGTGGAAAGAACCAATGGTGGTGTACATGACTTCGGGTTCTGTTTCACTAGCATTGCTCCCGCAGCTAACTACACCAAGCTCTGCAGGCATGTCACCTTGGGAAGCATCATTGAAATCAACTGTAGGAAAAAAAGGAAGGTAGAAAATGTAACCACAGTATAATAAAGAACATTTAGAGCAAGGAGGAAAGGTAGGGGACAAAGACAGAACAATAACAAACTTGAAGGAGGTCATGTGGTTACAGCTGCCAAATGGAATATCGCTTACCACTTGTTTTACATTTTCCTTTAAGCTTTTTATTCATGCCTTTGTTGAGTTCAAAGCGTAACAGAAAAGCTATTTCTGCAGGCAGCAGATAAAGTGTATATCATCATGCACTGGGCAACCTAACCAATTCAAGTTTTTCTATCAACAGGTAAGCACCAAAAGTACCCTAACTTGCGCATGCTTCAAAATCTCTTTTTATCCATATGAATAGTACAGGTAATTGAATGTCCAAATGTTGATTTCATTCTTTATAGGCGAGAGCATTAACTTTATTGGCACAACTTCATGTATAAGTTCTTACCCACTACGGCCTTCATTCCATGTCGCTTTTGATGGGCCCTTAAGTTAGCAGCAGTGGTGTAGGTCTTTGCACAACCATCAAAATCACACTTGAATGGTTTCTCACCAGTGTGTTTACACATGTGTACATTAAGACTACTTCCTGCAGTAAATGCCTTGTTGCACCCTTAAAAAAAATAAACAGGCACATTAAACTTCTCTATCTTAGGGGCTGTTTATATGATACCAGAATGACTTTCATTCGGGAATGAGTTTAATTCCAGAATGAAGTTCGTAATGCATTCACATCATAAAATTCACTGGTTTGGCTTATTCTTGCTTGCATGGTTTTTGCATCACATCAGATACGCATGTGCCACTTACCCCAGACTACACAATTTGTGATTTAGACACTGTTTACAATCCAGAATGAAGTTCGTTTTCAGTTTACATGATACCAGAATGAAATTTCATACCAGAACAAGAATTTCATTCATTCGGATTGAAAACCGGAATGACTTGTGTGGGAACCAAAAGGTTGTTTCAGCATCATGTAAACAAATGCAGAAAAATTATATTAAGATTGGGTGAACTCTTTCCTGAATGAAAGTCATGTGAATAGTCTCTTGCTAACTATCCAGACTGTTCACAGTCTGCTGTTTTTCTATAAGATTGTCAGAATCAAGTTTCAAATGTACCATTTCAAATTTACTTTGGGAGCAGGGGATCTATGGTTGGGAAGAGGCGAGAACAACTTTTAGTAAATTTTATTAGTATAGGTAATAGCATGATTTTAGTGATATTTGGCATAAATAACACAAGTGATATTTGAAATTGTTATACGTAATTTCACGCGCCGTTAGGCGAGTGAAATTTGAGACAAGTTTGAAATATCACAAGTGGTATTTATGCCAAATATCACGTGCAAATCATGCTATTATTTGTTTATACTATGACCCGCAAAAGGTTTGTAATTTTTACATGTAGGTATTTCAAATTAAGCTGAAATACCACTGCTCTAAGCCAATCAAATTGCAGAAATTTTTCATATAGTAGTATAAATAACATAATAAAATATTTCTGTTTTTCTCACCTCCCTCCCTCATACTACTATAAATTCTGACACCCACCCCCTCGCTACATGGGACCAAACTAGCCACCCTGACCCGTAATGATAAGTACTCAATGACAACTATCTTTATGGAAAAATAGGGGATCATGAACAGTTTAAAAGTTATCCAGTTTTGGTGGGCACCTCAAATTCGCAGTAATGGGAAATTCAAATTTTGCAAGACTTGAATTTCAGTCTCTAGGAAAAAAATAAAGTTATTGTGATTTCTCAGAGTATGGTACATGGCTATGAATGACTGAATAGCATCAATTCTTAAAATTAAAATTAACATTTTGTCTCCAGTGCTTGAGGAGAGATTATTGTGTCCCATTCAATTTCCAAGAGAAGGTTTTTGCACATCCTTTTTTTATTGTAAAGAGATAATTGGCAAAAAAAGGTACGCATAATAAACTTCATTTAGGAAAACAACCTTACCGTCCACAGGGCAAACATAAGGTTTTTCTCCTGTATGGACAAGCATGTGGGTCTTTAAATGACTTGATCTTGTGAATGATTTAAGGCAGCCTTCATGGAGGCACATAAATGGTCTCTCTCCTGTGTGTTTCCGCATATGCCGCTTAAGTTTATAAGCACTTGTGAAAGACCAGCCACATCCCTGAACAAAAAAGACACTGTGAGATGAATCAAATCTCTACAACAATCACTGTCAGACAGGAAAGAGAGACATTTAGGGGAGTAGGGTATCTAAAATACATGTAGGGTAAAAATGGTTAAAGGGCACCTTGAGCCAAAGAGGCCCATAAGGCCAGAGTGTATAACGGAAGAACACAGGGTATACCTGCCAACTTTTTACGTTTACAGGCGTGACATTTTTTACCTTAAGAGTGCCAAGATTTTTTGTAGGGTCCGATAATATCCGAAGATGTCCGAAGAAGATCTGAAGACTTCCGAAGACGTTACCACAGGTGAGAGTAGGTGTGAGATCCAAGTTTTCGATCTGCAGGCGTGACAATCACGCCTTAGGCGTGACACTTGGCAAGTATAACAGAGGTATTACCAGTCCCTACTGGATAGAAAGCTAGTCTATCGCAGGGTTATACCCACCAGTGTGCAGTCGGCACTCATTTATACACTGTGGTGAAGTGAGACATAGAGAGAGGTTTGACTGTAAACATATGATAGTCATACCTGTACTTCACAGTGAAATGGCCTTTCACCCGTATGTGACCTCAAATGCAGCTTTAACTTCGATGCCTTTGTAAACCTTTTCTCACATCCATCTACAGGGCATGCATGTGGTCTTTCTCCACTGTGAATCTTCATGTGGGCTGTTAAAGTCCCATTGGCAGAGAACACCTTACCGCAACCCTCCATTTCGCATTTATATGGCTTGTTCTCTGTTTGATGTCTTCTTTCGTGAACTTTTAGCTTGTGTGCTGTAGGAAATGTCTTGTCACAGCCTTCGTATCTGCACATGTGGGTGTCTGTTCTATAGTGGGCTCTGACATGTGTCTTCAAGTTGTAAGCAGTGGTGAAACACTTGCCACATCCTTCATGGGTGCACTGTTAAATAAAAAAAGTCCACCAGTCATCCAATTTGCAACATTTTTATATCCTACAATCAAATCCAGGCTTTTAAAAGATACCGGTAATCAACTCTCTTGACAGCATGCAGAGAAAGTTGTGTAGTGGATTTTGCTATCGGGCTAGTGATTTTTCGTAACTTGCCTGAAGGCAAGTGCTGTCTTTTGGGGAAATTCAAATTACAGAAGGATTGTAATCAATCCTGCTAATTAAAAAGGGTTTTGGGGCTAGTTGAAATGGCTTGTGGTCTAGTACATGCTAACTACAGCTTGCCCAAATGGCAGACTGTAAAACTGACTTTCTTTGCACCCTGCTTAACTCTCCAGGCTTCAGGAAGCCTCTTCTAGGCTCCAAGATAGTAATGTGAGGTTTTGCAGTAAAAATGCTTAAGGATTGGGGAAAGAGAGCCACTTTCCCTTCCTCAGATTGCACACATCATATTTTTGCTTGGCTTGTTATAATTTTGCAACATCCCAACTATCTCAGAGTCTGGCACAGGCTAGACTTCATCTAGACTAAATCCTTCCCTTCTTTTCTGTGGTTCCCACCTATCTGTCCACAACAACAGAAGTAGAGGTCAAGTATATACTACATTTACCCTTAGTACTTGAAAATTGAGCGTGTGGCGTCGATCTGTTAAAACCAAATAAGGCTGTGCAAAAAACCTACCAGAAATGGCTTCTCTCCAGTGTGGCCTCGAGCGTGCCTCTTCAATTTGTATGATGTTGTGAATGCCCATTCACACCCTTCTTGAGGACACTGAAATCAATAAAAAAGGCCTTAATTTGATCAACGAAATCCAACTAGGCGACCATTTGTTATGATGTGCCAAATTTTACAAATCTCAAAATAGAAGACTTTTTTTTTTTTTTAATTTCTTAGATACCTTGAAGGGCCTTTCCCCTGTATGCACTAGCATATGAAGCTTCAATTTAGATGCTTTGGAACACACTACATTACAGTCAGGGTGTGGGCACACATGGCGTTTGCCATCACTACACTGTTCCTCATCCTCCTGTTGATGCAAATTACCACAACAATGTTATTATCTTTCATTAGTGACTGTGCAATACTGCACCATACTGCATGTCTAACACTTATATCTGATTTTGTCTACAGAGAACCTTGTTTACGAGTTATAATAAAGAAAATACAAAACTTGGACTAGCCTGTGAATACAGCCTGACTTGTCACCTGCTCTCTGCCATCTGGGACATTTTACAATAGGGAGACATTATTTGCATTTTGATCCAATAAATTCCATACCAATAACACAATTCTGTCCAGGATCTGGCCAGAGACTCTAACGAGGCCCTTCTCAGGTAAAATCGCGACAAGCAACATGGCCTTGAAATGGCGACATGAGACAAATAAAATGGTGACAAACAACACAAGGGGTTGAAATAATATTGCAACAGTGATGAAGACAATTTAAGCGCAAAAACAATAATAAATTGTACAATGCCAACAGGGACATGGCTTCCTCCTCAATGCATGAAACGACTGGTTTTGAAAATCAAACTAGGGAAAGCATACCCACCCTAAGACGGCCTATTAAACTGGTTAATATGGTTAACTCATTCAGCTACTGCTCATGAATAACATACAAAACACAAAAGGTCCTAAAGATCAAACGTTACGAATGCACTGGTCTACCAAGAAACTCTCATTTCTCTGTAACATATTTGCTTTTAATTACAAGAAGATTTCGAGTTTCACCAGCACCAAATTAGGAGCAGAACTCAAAATTTTACAATAATCAACAAAGATAAACAGAAACTCAACATACTTATTTCTAAAACCCCATCACTTTCAGATTAATATGACAGTATGTTAAAACCTTGATTCAAGTCACCATGAAATTTTTAAAGGAAAAAGTTTACTTACAGACAAAATAAATTTTCACCAGTGAGCTGCTGGAGGTTGGATTAGTTGAAAATTAAGCATGCCTCAGAGATACAGCGTACTAACTGACCAACCTAATGTTGCGGAAACATTGCTTACTGTCTTAAAGATTCTTGTATGCATCTGGAAAATTGTATTTGACCTACTTATGACTGGACGGAGTTCAAATACCTGTTCATCTTGTGATGTTTCATCCACCTCCATGCCACTACTTCCATCACGCGTCATGTTGATGTGAATTGCCTGGTTTCCTGTCACTCCTGGTACCAGCATTCCACTCAGCAACACCTGTTGCTGATCTGTCAAAATCACATTTCTGGTGAGATCTGCTGAGGAGGTAAGCACATCCAGAGCTGCAGTACTACCATCTCCATGATTTAGCATTGAGCTTGTTGTAACAACTTGATAATGTGTTTCACTCTCTTCAGCATCACCCTCTGTTAAAAATGTAGGAACTTGAGTTGGAAAGGAAGTCACATCAGCAGAAAGAATGCTAGTCGTTACCAAGGAAATAGCTTGGCTGTTGGGATACACTTTAATTGTTATTTCCCGTGTAGGTTTATTCTGCTCTTGAAGTAATGTGTTATTCTCCACATGTTGTCCCTGGTTTGTGGCTTCATGACCGAGACACTCTTTGTTGACATTGGAATCTTCTACTATGTGAAACAAACAAAAAATTATAAAATTAAAAAACGCACTTTATGAAAGAGGTATGAAAAAGTCAGGCCAGGTTAAATCACAGAACTGGTGATTTCACATGATTAATACATTGAACAGAATAGCTGCATACTTCTAAAGTCAGGCACAGTTAAATTCTTAATTAAGAAGCTCTTATTTTATTGTTAGTTATTATCAATATGGTGTGACTTCCTTCCAGGGGTTACTTAGTGTAACCGTATTTCAAGGAGGTTATTAAATGCGACCTTTCTGTAAGAAAATACCTTGAAGATTTATGTGCCCTTTTCAAAAAGTTCCAGGAAAAAAAAAATTGGGAAAATTATGGACTCCTAAGGTGAGGTATCTAACTGGGTTCTAAACATTGAACATTGCACATACAGAGCTGTGCTTGGCGACCAACCTCTGCCCTTGGTCAACAAGCAAATCTTAGAAAACTTGTACATGCCCCACAGGGTACTCAACAAAGTTTTATGCAGGGAGGGTCCACCCCAAGTCCAACCTTTTACCCCTTTACACACCATTTTTGACAGAAAAAGTACCCTTTGGTATACCTTCTATTGACAAATGGTACCCCTTTCTCACGCCTTGTTAATGGTTTATTGTACGGTGCTCCTGAGTATCAAATTAAGAAACTTCAAAGAGTCATGAATGCCAGTGCTCGATTGGTTTACTGCGCACCTAAGTATTGTCACGTTACTCCTTTGCTAAGAGAACTCCACTGGCTACCAGTGCGCTTGCGCATAGATTTTAAGATTCTCCTGGTTACATTTAAGATTCTTCACGGTGTTGCGCCTAGCTATCTTAAGGATCTTGTCTCTGTCTTACCGGACTCACGTTACCAGCTACGCCGTAACAATAATGGTATATTGCTAGAAAGACCTCGGCTAAGAACGAAGAGACTTTGGGAGATCGCGCGTTATCGATGGCTGCCCCCTTTTTATGGAACAGTCTTCCTCTGCCAATAAGACAGGAAACATCAATCGACTCTTTTAAACGCTCTGTTAAAACATATTTATTTAAGAAGGCTTTTAGTTAGATTATTTATTTATTTATTTATTTTTAAATATTGTAATTTTACCGGGTAATTTTACTGGTTTTTAATTTAGTTATTAATAATATTGTAATGCGCTTTTGAGTATTTTTATAGAAAAAGCGCAATATAAGTATTAAATATTATTATTATTATTTAACTTTGCATCCCTTTTAACTGCTATGAATGCACTGCTATCAAATATGAATGAATGACAACAACAGAAAGTGTTCTCAATAAAAATGCATGTGTTAGCCCTTTTGGGCCTTTTCACCGATCAAAATGACAGATTTCCCTACCCCTTCAGTTACTTCCGCAAGTGAAAATATTATCCCTACCCCTTCATATACCTGACGCCTGAAAAGCCATATAGGCCATTATAAGGAGTGCTCCCCCCTCACCCCGGGTGCTGTACATCCTGGATTTCATAAGCAATTCTTACCACTGGTTGTTTTGTAATGCTAATAAGATCCTTTAAGTTGTAATACTGATGCCTTTCAAAGGCATTGAACAACAAGGCTTTAACGACATCTTCATCTTCACGAGCCCTCTTTCCTTCTTCTTTCTTTTTCTTCTCATGTTTTATCTGAAAATAAAATGATGTATTTAAAGCATGGCTGTCAGCCTAATACATTCTCAAATAATTATCGAGAATTCATAGGGAAGGGATGATAGATGAAGTCATAACATGCGGCACATGACGTCATTTGTGCAAAAATACTTGTTGACTCCAATCGTCACCAATTTGTGATGACACAAAACGCACAAAAAAGATGTTGTTAGCATTGTAACATTTAAACTGATTGGTTTACTTAATTTCACCAATCACATTATATTACTGTAACAAGGGCATACTAGAGTTCATGGGGAAATGTTCAATGTTAACATCAAAATAGCTTAGACAACACAAAATAGCTGAAATTTCATTGTCAAAAAGTCAAGTCTACTAAAGAAATGGCACACTTAGGCGATAATCCAGGAATTTTCATACTCTAATCTGGAGACCGGGAGATATGATCCAAAATCCAGAGTCTCCCAGATGTAATATTCAGGAAAGTGGACAGCACTGTTAAAGATTAAAAAGAATTTCAACAACCTGAGGAAAGGGAAAATTCAGCAACCTGAGGGATAAAAGAGGCATTGAATATATATAAGAAAGACGATGATGGCAATAAAGGTGAACCCCATTTGAAATTTGGTTATATGAATCTTTCTGAGCTTTCAAGCTTATTTTCTATAGTAAGGTATGTGCTTAAAGAAATCAATTTAAAAATGCAAAATCTAAAATTTTGTGTGCACATGCACAGTACTTACATTCATCTCATGGTCTCTCACTGGCCTGTACTTAATCACACGATCAACTTGGTTGGCTTTCTGTCCAGACATACTTGAGTTTAAAATTGTCCCCCTGTCAATACAAAGGAAAAAATATTGTCACAAACTATGCACAGTTGTCAATTTTGAAACTCTTCAGTGCAGTTCTTTCAATAAGAACTAGTTTCAGAAATACTTGCTATTGCATGAACATAACATAGTTTCCAGTTTGGAGGGAGATGTAGCAACCCAAATGAAATTCTGAAAGAGAATTGTTGCCACAGTTTTCAGTGGGAGGGGAGGGAGGGAGAGGGTGGTCACAACCTCAAGCTTCCCATACCCCATTTTTCTGCCTCCCATACCTTTTTGTCCATTTCTCTCCCCACTCCCGCCCTTTAGCGAGACAGAGGAGACACTGACACAACTGACACAGTCAACACACTTGCACATGTGTCATTCCATCTCATTCATGACCTATGATGTAAGCAACTTGGAAAAGTTTCCAATTTCAACTGAAGTAATGCTGTTTTTTTCTTTTTATCCCGAGTACGAATTTTTGTTTTTTGACTTTTTTGCAGACAAAACTTTGCTTTAAGCCTCAGAGAACGTTTAATGGAAGTCAAAAAACGTTGTTGGGTTCGTTTCTTTGACTGGATGATAAGCAGTAACCAATAATGAAATCTTGCCTTTTTGAAGTTCTCTCCTGCTTCCTGCCATCGTAGAGATCCAGCTTCCCGTCCTTTCTTCTCCCGACTCCTGTACCCTCCTGCCCCCTGTTTTCCTGGGCTCCCGCCCCCTGTCCCTCCCCACTTTTCAAGGCATTCAACTGAGTTGATTTTATAATAATTTAACAACTTTAATACAAAGTTTGATACTTTTGATTTATAAAGAAAGACAAATGACAAGCAATTTTTCAAGTTTGCCACATTTTGTCAAGTAAATCAAGTAAGTAAATAAAGAAGTCTAGTTGGAGAGGAGATGTCTTGAATATCAATGAAATAATCTCAATAAGTACTCTTCGCCATTGCTTTTAAATCAGGTAATGACCCTGGTCTTTACATCACTGTGATTGAAAATAAGATAACAAAAAATGCCAGCTTGTAGCCACTTCCTGTATTGTCCATGCTCGCACGCACACTTCAATTATCTCAGAGCAGAAAGAAAGGCAATGCAGAGGCGGATCCAGGATTTCTACAAAGAGGGGGTTGTAAGTTTGGGAGGAAGGCAAACATCCCAGGGCAAAGGAAATGGGGGAGGGGGAGGGTGGGGAGGATTAGGGGTATGTTTAAATATATAGATTTTTCTTTCATTTTGATGTCAGAGGAATTTTTAGGCACTGTTAGTAATGGTAATAGGACAGACTGGAGTACAATTCAGTGAGTAATCACCGAGTAATTCCAAATCACGAGCCTGATTACCTCTGTATTACCTTTAATCCTATCACCGATTAATTGTGTCAATAACAAAATGCGAGAATCTCATGCTTGGAATATTATTTTATTCATGTACATAAGAGTCACTGGACCAGTTAGTGTCATTCATTGTTTTTTTCCAGTTGAAGCTGGACAGCTTGACTGGTCAGTATTTTTTCTTTGATTTTGATAGGTTATCATGTGCCATGTGGTTAAATTTCATTGGCTAGTGGCATTTACTACTTTATTTTCATTGGTTCTTTAACTGTCTGATTTGAGTTACAGTAGCAAAATTAAGCTATAAAAACTGGCTGTCAAAAACCAATCAGATTCAAGCATTTTGTTATTGACACAATTATTAAGGACTAAGAGTACAGTGCACCAACGATAGTTGTTTGTCTCTTTTTTTACCTGCCTATTAAATCAAACAGACTGGCTTGAAAGAGCCTTCTTGGATGAGCCTTTACAAATGCTTCGCATATCTCATTTACCTTGAATCCCCAGCTCTCGGAATAGTGCATGGCAATCACTGCGAGATCAGAGAATCACTCCATGGTTGACCTAGATTCATTTCATCAGTAAAAAAATATCGCTCAGCTTCTGCGCTTGTGATCCGTCGGGTGAGGGCAGCGACCCGAAGGCAATAGATGTTTGGAAAAGCATCTTCATCGCAAACAAGGTTATTTGGGAGCTCCCTATCTTTTGACTGCCAGAGTGTTTCCATCTACCTACCTCATTTCCAAGGGATTTGAGAAATGGAATGTTTTTCTCCCAGAACAGCATGCCTTTTACTTCATATCCGATCCAGTTGCAGTTCCTTATTTGCTATAATCGATGGCACGAGACAAAGCAGATGGCAGGCGTAGCAATCTTCCTAGGAAAATCGATCCTGCATTTGGATAATATCCAAATACAGGATCGATTTTCCGAGGAAGATCAAGGAGTCAAGAAGAGGAATAGCTACAGTCTTCTTGTAACGATCGATGGGACTGGAACTTATATTATAACTTATAATATTATTTTTTGTACGAAAAAGAGATAGACATAGGCAAAGAGATAGACATAGGGGGTTGCAACCCCCTCGACCCTCCCCCTGGATCCACCTCTGCAATGCTAATAGTCGCTTTACTTACTTTTTAAGCAATAAATAATCAGCATTTGGTTGAACTGGATGACTGTCTGCTTATTGAACAACGACTCCTTCAATAGTTAGTTGAGCTGAAAACAGAAACTCAGCTTAGCTATAAATACTACAAAATAATATTATGATATTAGAGTAGTTTGTTACTATGTACAACTAGTGTTAACTTGTACATGTGGTATAATATACCCCCTAACCCCTCTACAGTAATGAATAATAAAATCAGTCATAATTGAGAATGGAGCAAATGACAACAGCGGAATGCACAAATAAAGACAGAAAATGAGTAAAACTCAAAGGAATTTCTGCAAAATTAAAATTGAAAGCATCTTCCAAACCACTATCAGATTAATGAACAAGAACTCACATAATTTATCACCCTTTTCTTCCTCTTCAGTTGCAGAAGCTACAGTTGAGGAAAAAGAAAACACCTTTGAATGATCTTAAGACACAGCAAATTCAAGGAATACACACTTATGCTGTTGAGTATTCTTAACCAGAACCATCTCATCTATCCATCAAAACATTTTTTCTCACTGTTGTTTATTATTGTTATTATTATTTTTTATGGAATACAGGTTCTTTCTCTGTGAAGATATAATATTAAAATACCTGGTGAGCCTTCAGAAAACATTCCCATGGACTTCTCAACTTTAGACAAAACCATTTTGTAATCCCTTGGAACTTTGATATCTTGATCTTTGTCTTCTTTGTTTGCTAATACATCAGATAGGTTAAATACAACCTACTGAAATCAAAAGTAAGTGAATTATCATGATTTAAAGAATGATATTTTAGGTCAAAAATTAAATTCAAGTTAAATTTCTTGACAATGACGGATTTATTTCTCAATTCCCTTTGTTTCCCAGCCCTGAATTTAATTGTGACCTTGAACATAGATAAAGGAAAGTTCATGCTAACACAGAAGCTAGCAGTTAATCTGTGTGAATGTTCTCGCCAAACATTGACCCACTTAGTATAAAGCAAATGACTTGAAAGATTTCTCCCTTCTCCTTACTGAATAATGATGATGACAACAACAGCTTTTTAGCTTTAGGCAAAAAATCTTGTGAAAGTTATGAAAGTTCTAAACCCCTTGGATAGGCTACAAACAGTAGTACGTTTCGAAACACTTTGTTCTTTTTTTGGACCGGTGGCTTGTCCTCATGGGCTAGTTACCTCTCCATCCTGCATTCCTGATGCATAAAAATCCCCAAAGACGCAAAATAATTCATGGCATGCGTCCCATAGGACACAAAGAACAATCGATCAATTTGAAGATTTTTTGAGAGAATATTCTGTTCGTGTGATTTCTGTGGCTGTTGCTTAAAGATGCATATTTATTTTAGTCTTTTTTGTGCTTTAAATATATAGAAGGACTATATTTTAATTTCGGCAAACTGTAATAGAGAGTTTTGACATCTGTCTCCAGATTAACTGTCTGGTTACATAAAGGCCCAAGCATTTTCAATTTCGGACTCCTTGTTTCTTTTAACTGGGACTTATTTGTTATGGACAGGGACTCATAATTTTTCACAAGATGAGTCCCAGGCCTCACCTAACTATTTGTAACACAATCACTCGTTACACAGTAAAAAGCACCAACCTCATTCCTCTGAGGATTCTGTTGACAAAGTTAAAGTAAAGAATTCGTGTTGCAGATTATAATTTGTAAAACTTAGAGGATACAGAGCTACCAAGCCCATTATTAAGATAATCTTTCTGGTTATATTGATGGGTGAATATAACTATCATGAAACATGTTTAATTCAGCCATAAAACTTCAAAATATTTTACCCATCAGAAAGTTTTCTTTCACTTTTTTAAGGACCATTTCTTTTACTTGTGAGAGAATCTGTTTGTGTGCATAAAATTTTTTACTTCTGCTCATTAGCACTGAGAAAAATATGGAAATTTTTAGGACATTTGGGGACAGTCAAAAGATTTCACATTATAAGACTTACTTTGTTATCTGAAGAGAACCAACTATTCCAGAAGCATCTGTATTTTCCATGCAACTGTTGGAGAGATATTTAGGAACCTGTGTAGGAATTCATGTTTTAGTACTGTTATAACCATGACATAAAAAGACTAAATTAAGCCAGAGCCATTTAACTAGTAGGATCAACATCTGGTTCACTGATGAATTATCATACTGGGGAACTTGCCATCAGCTCTGAATTGAATTGATATTGACATGCAATCATTTTCTGTTACAAGCAATATGCATCTAATAAGGGCCTGTTTACATTACAGGGAGGTTGGGTACGCCAGATAGGTGAGGTTACTTGTAGTGGGTCACCCCACCTATTATATAAACATGATCAAATTACAATGAGAGATTATACGGACAGGTGGGTTACTCCACCTAAGCCGGTTGCCTCACCTACCTGAAGTCCTCCACCTTCAAGTAAACAGGCCCTAAGTCCTGTTGAATGGCAGTCCAAGGCCACTGGCCTCTTCATTGCTGCTGCAGTGAGTGAACCTGAAGCAAGCGAACAAGGCAGCTCTCTGATCGGCAAAAAATTACATTATAGGGGCATCCAATCACTTTTTCTTGCCAAATGCAAGGAATCATGGTTATGCGCGAATGAAAGATTTAGGATACGCAATGGACTCGCAAGGAATTGTGGTTATGTGTGAATTGAAGATTTAGGATGTGCAGTAGACTCGCAAGGATTTGTGGTTATGCTGGAATGGGAGATTTAGAATGCGCAGTGGATTACCATACATGTGCTTTCTTCTCACACTGATTTTCAACTGCAATTTCAATAATTTACAATCTCGTTAAAGTACAATGTACATATAGAAACAAAAGGTCTAACTGGCAAACAAACAACTTTGCATGTGATGCATACTTTTGCAGATGGCTGACACTTGTCGACCGAGAACCAAAGGTATTCATAATGAATTCAGTAGAAGAATGAAAGCAAAGTTCAAAACCTCAGTATATTTGGATTGGTTTTTGGAAAACAGAACACACCCAAGACCAGCAAAATGGTGTACATATGGACAAAAAAATAGCCTCACTAGAGCAAGTAGCCTATATGGCTAGTAACTGGTCAAGATTTACAAAACACTAAAAGACCAGCAGTCCGATATTTTGACTATTGTGATTATGACGGTTAAGCACTGACGACACTGATTAGGGTTAAGCACTGAAAATACTAATTAGGGTTAAGCACTAACCATACTGATTAGGGTTAAGCCCTGAGAATAGTGAGAAGGGTTAATGGTTAGCTTCTATTTTGGGTTGGGGTTTTCACTATAATATTTGAATAAAATCAAAATCTTGCAGTGAAACCACGGTACTCTAGTGGTTAGAGTAGTGGTATGCAGACCGTATGTTCCGAATCTAATCCACTCATATTTGAGTGAATTTTTTTTTTCTTTTAAAATTGAAGAGACTTACACTTTGACAACATTTGTTGATTAGAAACAAAGTCTCTCAGTCCTTTCTAAATCAATGTATGATAGTTTGGTCTGGCTAGCATTCTTAGATTTGTCAAAATTATTAAAAAAAATATTGGACTGCCGGTCATTTAGTATTTTGAAAATCTTGATCGGTTACCGGCCATATAGCCACAGCCTTTATTATTTTCCATGCAAATTTCCTTCTGTACCTAAGAGGAAATCACACAAGCAGCATTAGAGCTACGAGCCTGAAATTTATGTGTCATATTGATCAATAATTGAACATAACTGCCCTCCAAAATTGGCATTTGATTCGTGACATGGTTACCAGGCCAAGTTAATGTTGTGTTTTCATTGTCGTTTCTCAAACCTATCTTGTAGCACAGATCACAGTCGAACAAACTTCCTTAAACTTGGCAGATGAAATAAACAGTCTTAAACTCAAGAATTTTAAGTTTTGTGGAGATTGCTCAATTTTTCTACAAACAGAAAGACAATTTGCAAAACTGAACAGCACAGTTAGAAAATTTGATCGTATCACCAAATCAAAGCTTCAAAATAAATTTCAGTTATTCAGTTGAAAGCGAGAATAATTGAACTTATACATGTCCAAAATCAAGAATTATCCAGCCACTTCTGATGCGACACAAGTATGTTAGAAAAATAATAATTATAAATTGGCTCATAATTAACTTGGAGTCACCTTAAACAAACTAAAAGAAAGATAATTTCCAAATTTAGGTCACCACAAAGATTTTGCATAGCCCTCTTAGCCTCATATAACCTTCTACTAATTACTTCACAATTAATTTTTCATTTCTTCACTGTTCCTTGCCTACGGCAGCATTTCTACCCTTTAGGTAAACTAGTTACCACAAAGTACAGTAAGTACAACATGAACAGGGTAGAAAAATGTATGTATAACAAATGTATGGGGTTATATACCACGGCAGGTTTAGCTCAGTCGGTAGAGCGCTTGACTGCAGAGCAGGAGGTCACGGGTTCGATTCTCGGGGCCGGACCAATACTCAGGGTCTTAAAATAACTGAGAAATGAAGGTACTTCCTTTGTCCAAACAGCTAGACCTTCGCGTGGCTCGGATGACCACATAAAATGGTGGTCCAGTCTCCATTAGGAGACGTAAAAAATGGGGTCCCCAATTAGTACTTACGTGCTAAATACATTGACACACAAATAAAGTGCATTTTTTTTTTATATGGGGAAGTCTTACCCGTGTCAATGATTTCGTAATAGTTTACTGCTTCTATATCTGAGATTGGCGTTAGAATAACTCAGGAACTCGCTGAAAACTAGCTTGCTAAAATTTCATGTTAGAAATAAAGAAAGATAATCCGCTGTACGTAAGGAACTCCCGAGGTTCAAAACGCTCTAATAATAAAATGGCATAAAACAGCTAGATTTAGCGAGTTTGTAACCGAAAAATATGTAGATTATTTATCTTAATGTTATCATTCACCGTACGATGTGTAAGCAACCAGTGATTCACAACTCAAATTAACTGCTAGAGGTTGACAAAATGAAACATTTCAGTTCGGTCCATGCCAGTAGACAGTTGTTCAGTTCAGATGTCGGGGAACCACTAAATCCCTTACCTTTACGAGCCATACTGCTCTTGAAACACCAGAACAGTCAACCTCTGAGCCCATCGAACTATTTGAATTCTTACTTCCTGGCAACAACCTCTAATGTCAAATCTTTTATCTGTAAAAAGTAGCCAAACTCGGCAAAAGTTTGAAATGAAACTAACTGTAAATGTCATTTAGTATCACTAAAGTGTATCACCAAAGAGACTCCGCTGAGCAAGCTGAGTGCAGACCAATAGAACAAGCCAGGAGCTAAATAAATTAAGATCCTAGATCAGGCGTTATTTTATTTTTTAATTTTGTTTTGCTTCTTTGCTTCTTTGATCTCAGGCTAGGAGCCTAACAAATACTGGCCCGAATATTTGTAAAAGTAACTCACAGTGTCTGGAAACAAAGTAGAAACGTACAACTAAATAGGAGAAATTACCTTACATAACGTCTACAATAAAACTCCCTAACCTTCAAAAACAAAAGCAGGAGAAAGTAAAAGGTGAGTGAAAAGGTACGGGTACGCGGTAGGGGTACGGAGCACCTAGTCCCCAGGGCTCTCCCCCCTTGGGCGGAGCACCTAGTCCCCAGGGCTCTCCCCCCTTGGGCGGAGCGCCTAGTCCCCAGGGCGCCTTAGTCCCCAGGGCTCTCCCCTTGGGCGGAGCTTAGTCCCCAGGGCTCTCCCCTTGGGCGGGAGTCCCTTAGTCCCCAGGGCTCTCCCCTTGGGCGGAGCACTTAGTCCCCAGGGCTCTCCCCTTGGGCGGAGCACTTAGTCCCCAGGGCTCTCCCCCCTTGGGCGGGCACTTAGTCCCCAGGGCTCTCCCCTTAGTCTTAGTCCCCAGGGCTCTCCCCTTGGGCGGGGAGCACTTAGTCCCCAGGGCTCTCCCCCGGAGCGGAGCACTTAGTCCCCAGGGCTCTCCCCTGGGCGGAGCACTTAGTCCCCCCTCCCCCTTGGGCGGAGCACTTAGTCCCCAGGGGCTCTCCCCCCTTGGGCGGAGCACTTAGTCCCCAGGGCTCTCCCCTTGGGCGGAGCACTTAGTCCCCAGGGCTCTCCCCCTTGGGCGGAGCACTTAGTCCCCAGGGCTCTCCCCTTGGGCGGAGCACTTAGTCCCCAGGGCTCTCCCCCTTGGGCGGAGCACTTAGTCCCCAGGGCTCTCCCCTTGGGCGGGCACTTAGTCCCCAGGGCACTCCCCGGAGCACTTAGTCCCCAGGGCTCTCCCCCTTGGGCGGAGCACTTAGTCCCCAGGGCTCTCCCCTTGGGCGGAGCACTTAGTCCCCAGGGCTCTCCCCCCCTTAGTGGGCGGAGCACTTAGTCCCCAGGGCTCTCCCCCTTGGGCGGAGCACTTAGTCCCCAGGGCTCTCCCCCTTGGGCGGAGCACTTAGTCCCCAGGGCTCTCCCCTTGGCTCCCCCCTTGCGGAGCACTTAGTCCCCAGGGCTCTCCCCCTTGGGCGGAGCACTTAGTCCCCAGGGCTCCCCCCTTGGGCGGAGCACTTAGTCCCCAGGGCTCTCCCCTTGGGCGGAGCACTTAGTCCCCAGGGCTCTCCCCCTTGGGCGGAGCACTTAGTCCCCAGGGCTCTCCCCCTTGGGCGGAGCACTTAGTCCCCAGGGCTCTCCCCTTGGGCGGAGCACTTAGTCCCCAGGGCTCTCCCCCCTAGTGGGCGGAGCACTTAGTCCCCAGGGCTCTCCCCTTAGTCCCCAGGGGAGCCCTTAGTCCCCAGGGCTCTGGGCGGAGCACTTAGTCCCCCTTGGGCGGAGCACTTAGTCCCCAGGGCTCTCCCCTTGGGCGGGAGCACTTAGTCCCCAGGGCTCTCCCCCTTGGGCGGAGCACTTAGTCCCCAGGGCTCTCCCCCCCCCCCTGGGGGCGGAGCACTTAGTCCCCAGGGCTCTCCCCCCCCCCCTGGGGGCGGAGCACTTAGTCCCCAGGGCTCTCCCCCCCTAGTCCCCAGGGCTCTCCCCCTTGGGCGGAGCACTAGTCCCCAGGGCTCTCCCCCTTGGGCGGAGCACTTAGTCCCCAGGGCTCTCCCCCTTGGGCGGAGCACTTAGTCCCCAGGGCTCTCCCCTTGGGCGGGCGCCTTAGTCCCCAGGGCTCTCCCCTTGGGCGGGCTTGGGCACTTAGTCCCCAGGGCTCTCCCCTTGGGCGGAGTCCCCAGGGCTCCCCCCTTAGTCCCCAGGGCTCTCCCCTTGGGCGGAGCACTTAGTCCCCAGGGCTCTCCCCCTTGGGCGGAGCACCTAGTCCCCAGGGCTCTCCCCTTGGGCGGAGCGCCTTAGTCCCCAGGGCTCTCCCCCTTGGGCGGAGCACTTAGTCCCCAGGGCTCTCCCCTTGGGCGGAGCACTTAGTCCCCAGGGCTCTCCCCCTTGGGCGGAGCGCCTAGTCCCCAGGGCTCTCCCCTTGGGCGGAGCACTTAGTCCCCAGGGCTCTCCCCCTTGGGCGGAGCACTTAGTCCCCAGGGCTCTCCCCTTGGGCGGAGCGTCCCTTAGTCCCCAGGGCTCTCCCCTTGGGCGGAGCACTTAGTCCCCAGGGCTCTCCCCCCCGGAGGGCTTAGTCCCCAGGGCTCTCCCCTTGGGCGGAGCACTTAGTCCCCAGGGCTCTCCCCCTTGGGCGGAGCAGGGCCTAGTCCCCAGGGCTCTCCCCCTTGGGCGGAGCTCTCCCCCTAGTCCCCAGGGCTCTCCCCCTTGGGCGGAGCACTTAGTCCCCAGGGCTCTCCCCTTGGGCGGAGCACTTAGTCCCCAGGGCTCTGGGCGGAGCACTTAGTCCCCAGTCCCCAGGGCTCTCCCCTCCCCCCCCTTGGGCGGAGCACTTAGTCCCCAGGGCTCTCCCCTTGGGCGGAGCACTTAGTCCCCAGGGCTCTCCCCCCTTGGGCGGAGCACTTAGTCCCCAGGGCTCTCCCCCCCTTGGGCGGAGCACTTAGTCCCCAGGGCTCTCCCCTTAGTCCCCTTAGTCCCCAGGGCTCTCCCCCCTTGGGCGGAGCACTTAGTCCCCAGGGCTAAGAAGAAAAACTATATAAATAAACTTACCTTTTTACTTACCTTTTGTGAGGTATCTTTAGTGCTTTTTTGTGTGTATTTTGGACAGTTGGTTTAAGCTGAGAAATTTAGCTCTGGGTAAGGTTTCGTTTTGTTTACGAAACCAACCCTTCTTTACTAAATTTAAAAGCGTAAACTTCTTTTAGATGGTGATATTTTTTGTCTGTCAGGCCTTAAGAGGTTTATTTTATAACTAAATACAACATGCAGTTTTCTTGGTATATATACCAAACCAGAATTGTTAGAGAGGCCATAAACCTCACTTCGAAGTTTCCGTGAAAAAAGATGTAACATGAAAAGAAATATAGCTTAATCGATGAGCCTCGAGACCTTATTAAAAATAATAACCGAGCGCGTACTTTTCCATAGTTTTTGAAAAGCAGGTTATCATTATGGTCACTGAATTGAAAGAGTAGTTCATTATTTGTAATAATGATCTTCTGTTCCATCTCAACGATCTCTTCTTGAAATTTATTTAAAATAATAACCTGTTCAAAACAATGGAAAATTGCATGAAGATTCGACTAACCGATTGTGCAAAAAATGAACTTACCACATAGGTTTGGTATATACTGAATAAATGACAGACACACAAATGAGTTGGCTGCATATCCTTGTTAAGGACCGTGGCAGTACGTTTATTGTTATTTTGAAGACTTCCTTGCAAGGCAAATTGTTCTTCTTTTCCTTATGGTCGGGTAGTACCTGTTAAAAAATGGAAAGTGTTATTTGTTGTTGTAACTATCACCGTACAAACGTCTAAGAGTTGCACTCCAAATTAACCTTATTTTCTTGTTTAACTGGTTTCTCGTTACCTTTACATTTATTCACACACGTCTTGTCTCTCTGTCGACTATTATCTTATGTCAGCCTGAACCGTCCCGGGAAGCATTGCAATTCTCTGCTGGTGCAAGCTAAGCACTTTACGCCAAAATTGCCATAAGGCCAACAGTTGGTTCACGTCTTGCATCCCGTTTGTGCGGCATAAAAGCACAATTTAAATTCAAATCGTTCATTTCTTAATAAGGTCGCAGTTAGTCAAATATAAAAGCATATAGTCTGAGTCAGAGTAATAAAAAACTGTCCAACGTTTGACGTTTATTTTATATTTGTAGCCACTGAAGTGAACACTTCTTTAATCAAAGCAAAAAATTCTAACTAAATAGCATCAACAAAATAGGCCTATTTGACCCTAACATACGCAATTCGCGTTTATCTTGTTGACTATACCGTAAACCTTTATTACATATTTGTCCTTCCAGTTCAACATTTATCGAGCCAACATAACAAAGGGACCATGCATTTTCACAGGTAACTTCGGACGACAATAACGCACAGAAGAAACATAAAGTTCAACTAAGAACAAACCTGTCGTTTTCGAGGAGGCAAAAGAGATTCTTGACTTTCATTCCAGACCAGAGATCGCCTAGCTGAGTTTGATCTTCACTGTACCGCAGGCAATGAAAGGTAAGGAGGTTTCTGACTTATAAACACAGTTAAATCAACTTGAAATTGGTGTCACCATTTATACGGTCGCTCGATTAAAATTCAAACCAGCGTGAGAAATGTTTTTGATAAATCTTTTCTTGAAACTGTATGAGAGAAAAGCACGTACTCTATGTTCAACAATGGGCAATCAAAGCATAGGTTGGTCACATTCAAAGAAGAAACGTTTGCCGACTCGCTCGATTACATAACGTTTAAAACAGTACTAGTGGATAAGTATGGGACTTGACAATACATTGAGAAAAACAGTACTCCGTTCATCAATGAACAATTAGACTAACGCTTGAATTAGACGCATTCAGAAAAAAAAATGCCGATTTGATTAAAACTTAACAAATCGATACAAAACTGGCTAGTGAATGAGTAGACAATAGGCCTTTCGCCCCAAGAGAAATTGAAAACAATGCTAATGCAAATTTTGGAGGGACAACAAAGAGTATTATGGTATTTTTGAAAAAAGGCCTATAGCCGTGTGAATTACCACAAGCTAGCCCCTGAATAAATTTAAAAGTACCGGGAAAGAAACATACAAACTTTTCAAAACATACAAACCATTTTTTAACAAACTATAGTTCTACCTAATATTAATTCATTATCTGTCGACAATAAAACGTCTAAGCCAGTGTTTAAAGTTAGAGAGGCAAGGAAAAAAGTGTTCAAAGGACATCCACTTTTATCTATTATGAATTAAACCCTAGCAATCTTAGAAAAGAAAAGTTTTAAACCATTTTGATTAACACTATGCGCTTTAAAAAACTCTTTTATTAACAGTTTTTTTGATTGCTATGTAATATACTGATACCGGTATATATTTTTGATTTCACCACTTATCTTGTAACAAAAGATATGTATTTTTATCTCTTGATGAATAAAGACTTTATTATTTATTATTATTATTATTATTACTATCAGCTATTTGACAAAACTAATGAATATGCGAAGACTAACAATATCCTGTTACGCACTCGCTCGTCACGACTAAAGTTAAAGGTGCGAAAAAGCGAGAATACAAGCTTTAAAAACTTTTAGGTAGAAAAAAATAATCATTCATTCGAAAAGCGCAGCAAGTTGAGGAAAACTTTTGATTAAAATTGCCAGTTAAAAAAATCACTTCTATCACACTGACAGATGAAAAGCTCACGTTCAACGAAAATGCCTCGAGAAACACAATATTGAGGATGTCATTGATCATAGCATGGGGTTATTAGTTTCTGGGGTCACAAGAATAGTGGAGCGGATTTATGTGATCACATGCATCAGGCCCGGCTGGTACAAACTCTTCCCCCAAGCTGGTCATTTCGTTTTCGTTCATAACTTCGCTTGATTTTTCTCGATCGGGAGACCACCCTTCAAAGCAACTGGGACCCTCTCCCTTGTCTCTTTTTTTCCTCCCTCCCCTCCCCTCCCTTTTTGTGCCTACAATCAGGCTAATTAATACCTAATAATGTGAATCAAGAGTTCATAGTGAAGAATAAGCAATTCATTCATAGGAAGAGGGAGGAATATTCCGGTATTTATGCTATATAGGTATATGAAACCCCAGAAACTGTCCCGTATAAACTGCACATTTCGCTTGAGATAAGACGCGGCTTAGCTAAGATGTGTCTTCTTCATCTACAACTTTAATCTCTAACAGTTTCCCATTATAAAGATATGATCATCTAGAGCTCACAGCATTGACAGATCAGGAAAGCTGGAGGTCTAAAAAGTGCCGCCATGTTGGTAGATGGATATAAGAACAGTTGTTAAGGGCTGTTTATCAGTTCTCTCTTCATCAGGTCTATTTATAGTTACAGTCTTACAGTTTTTCTCCATCAAAATTATATCTCTGACTCAAGTGCTCTGAGTCGAATGATAAGGTGAAACGTCGCGAAAAGCTATTTGGTCATTTGCGGGTAGTGTTATTTTTTTATTTTTTAAAAAAACAAACATAAAAAAAGATCTGACTTAGAAATTTGTCAATAACGTGAGGAAATACTTGATACTTAATATTATCATTATTCCGTATACCGGCACTTGATTTTATACTTTCTGTGACTGACATCAGTCAATTTTCAGAGTCTAATACATATATATGCCAGCCTGTTATGCAGGCTAGGTGATGACCAGCGTCTTCTCTCTTTAGCTACGCCCTGTAAAGATAGCCGATACAATTTGACTGTCGATAATCGATTCTTTGTGATGAATTTCTTACGTTTTCCAACGCTATTTCTAATTTCGACAATTAACCTCTTTAAATAAGGCTACTAAATAAATTATTAAATGGAGCTAGAAAGAAAAATTATCTACAATATACAACTGTTGTTGCTATGAATTATGCATATATTATCGGAGGTCTTGTAAATTAATTGTGCTTTCTGGATAAGTGTCTCCGTTCCCTTCGTCTTGCTCTGAAGAGCTTTGATTGTCCATATATGGAGATAAGCCTCCTTTTTCCATAACTTCACTTTGCGCAGACGCACCGGGTAGCGTTGAACTAGATTCTAAAGGAATCTCAATGGTGTTACCATGGTTACCACATGTATTGACATCCACATGTTCCACTTCCGGTACATGAGCTGTTGTTGAATCAGTTACTGGTCCGTGGGGTAAATTGATTTGAAACGAATCCCTGGGAATATGAACCGTGGCAATTCCCTCAGGGGACTGCTGGATTTGAGCCACTAAGACTTCAGCCTCATTTTCAGTGTCTGAGGACTTGACTTCATCCTGCAAACCAACAGATGTCAAATTACAATCGCTTTTTTTTGGCATAATAATTATGCAACTTCAGGAGCTCAAAATGAAGGTTTATGAAATGTCTTACGTTAAGAAGCCAAGGATCCAGATGCAAGAGAATAGCTTTTGAAGCTCAGGTATGCGCAGAAAGCAAAATTTATCTCCTCCACTCTTCTTCTGCTTTTCTTCCTCCACTTTTTTTTCTTTTACTGGGCATTTTAGAAGGCTTCATTTTGGTGGGAAAAGCTTTTAATTTAGGAAAGCATTTAGGATCTTGCGATTAGATGAAAGGAAAGGTCGGCGGGTAGTGGAACAAGAGGAATTTTCTGGTTAACGTTACGTGTTTTTTTGCCCTTTTCTCCGGCCTCCTTGACTGGATCTTGTTCATTCTGATATGGTTTGAAGATCTCTTCACCCTGCACAAGTGAGATCACAAAGTTGTCCTGATGAAGTGACAAGCTGTAGAAGAGACTCGGATACACACAGGCGTTTCAGGGGCGAATGGCTTAACATACGAAACTTACAAACAAACCTGAAATATAACAGCAGGCGGCGCAAACTGATCCTCAGGGTGAACATCTCGAAAGTCAAGAGTTCTGGACCTTTTACGAGACCGACCTGATGACACAACACTTTTAACAGCAGGGTGTCCTCCAGTTCCATCTTGTCCCGCTTCACTTGTTATATGACTCATCATGCTGGTTATACACAAATCAAAGTTTCCAGAGAGCTTGGTTCCGTCCACTCCAACCACCTCTGTCCTTACCTGGGCGGCAGGTGAAATTGTGTCATCACTAGTACTTCTCACGACGAACTCCGTTACATCAAGTTTTGTATTATTTTCTAGGTCCTCGGTAACAAATTGCTCTTGTTGAACTGAGATTGGCACTTGAATTCCTGATATACTTGCTTCTTTCATTTCTCCATCTTCTGACTGTTTCTTTTCTGTTTCCAATGCAAGTTCAGTCGAAGGAGACACAAGTGGGATGCCTGTGGAAAGTGAGTTGCCTGTGGAAGTTACCAGGGCACACAATGTGTTTGGCTGCAATGAAGCGGGTATATGAATACCAACTGCTGAAAGACGTGCAGCATCATCTAGGTTAAAATTGCTTGGGTGGAAAGAACCAATGGTGGTGTACATGACTTCGGGTTCTGTTTCACTAGCATTGCTCCCGCAGCTAACTACACCAAGCTCTGCAGGCATGTCACCTTGGGAAGCATCATTGAAATCAACTGTAGGAAAAAAAGGAAGGTAGAAAATGTAACCACAGTATAATAAAGAACATTTAGAGCAAGGAGGAAAGGTAGGGGACAAAGACAGAACAATAACAAACTTGAAGGAGGTCATGTGGTTACAGCTGCCAAATGGAATATCGCTTACCATTTGTTTTACATTTTCCTTTAAGCTTTTTATTCATGCCTTTGTTGAGTTCAAAGCGTAACAGAAAAGCTATTTCTGCAGGCAGCAGATAAAGTGTATATCATCATGCACTGGGCAACCTAACCAATTCAAGTTTTTCTATCAAAAGGTAAGCACCAAAAGTACCCTAACTTGCGCATGCTTCAAAATCTCTTTTTATCCATATGAATAGTACAGGTAATTGAATGTCCAAATGTTGATTTCATTCTTTATAGGCGAGAGCATTAACTTTATTGGCACAACTTCATGTATAAGTTCTTACCCACTACGGCCTTCATTCCATGTCGCTTTTGATGGGCCCTTAAGTTAGCAGCAGTGGTGTAGGTCTTTGCACAACCATCAATATCACACTTGAATGGTTTCTCACCAGTGTGTTTACACATGTGTACATTAAGACTACTTCCTGCAGTAAATGCCTTGTTGCACCCTTAAAAAAAAATAAACAGGCACATTAAACTTCTCTATCTTAGGGGCTGTTTATATGATACCAGGATGACTTTCATTCGGGAATGAGTTTAATTCCAGAATGAAGTTCGTAATGCATTCACATCATAAAATTCACTGGTTTGGCTTATTCTTGCTTGCATGGTTTTTGCATCACATCAGATACGCATGTGCCACTTACCCCAGACTACACAATTTGTGATTTAGACACTGTTTACAATCCAGAATGAAGTTCGTTTTCAGTTTACATGATACCAGAATGAAATTTCATACCAGAACAAGAATTTCATTCATTCGGATTGAAAACCGGAATGACTTGTGTGGGAACCAAAAGGTTGTTTCAGCATCATGTAAACAAATGCAGAAAAATTATATTAAGATGGGTGAACTCTTTCCTGAATGAAAGTCATGTGAATAGTCTCTTGCTAACTATCCAGACTGTTCACAGTCTGCTGTTTTTCTATAAGATTGTCAGAATCAAGTTTCAAATGTACCATTTCAAATTTACTTTGGGAGCAGGGGATCGATGGTTGGGAAGAGGCGAGAACAACTTTTAGTAAATTTTATTAGTATAGGTAATAGCATGATTTGTAGTGATATTTGGCATAAATAACACCAGTGATATTTGGAAATTGTTATACGTAATTTCATGCGTCGTTAGGCGAGTGAAATTTGAGACAATTTTGAAATATCACAAGTGGTATTTATGCCAAATATCACGTACAAATCATGCTATTATTTGTTTATACTATGACCCGCAAAAGGTTTGTAATTTTTACATGTAGGTATTTCAAATTAAGCTGAAATACCACTGCTCTAAGCCAATCAAATTGCCGAAATTTTTCATATAGTAGTATAAATAACATAATAAAATATTTCTGTTTTTCTCACCTCCCTCCCTCATACTACTATAAATTCTGACACCCACCCCCTCGCTACATGGGACCAAACTAGCCACCCTGACCCATAATGATAAGTACTCAATGACAACTATCTTTATGGAAAAATAGGGGATCATGAACAGTTTAAAAGTTATCCAGTTTTGGTGGGCACCTCAAATTCACAGTAATGGGAAATTCAAATTTTGCAAGACTTGAATTTCAGTCTCTAGGAAAAAAATAAAGTTATTGTGATTTCTCAGAGTATGGTACATGGCTATGAATGACTGAATAGCATCAATTCTTAAAATTAAAATTAACATTTTGTCTCCAGTGCTTGAGGAGAGATTATTGTGTCCCATTCAATTTCCAAGAGAAGGTTTTTGAACATCTTTTTTTATTGTAAAGAGATAATTGGCAAAAAAAGGTACGCATAATAAACTTCATTTGGGAAAACAACCTTACCGTCCACAGGGCAAACATAAGGTTTTTCTCCTGTATGGACAAGCATGTGGGTCTTTAAATGACTTGATCTTGTGAATGATTTAAGGCAGCCTTCATGGGGGCACATAAATGGTCTCTCTCCTGTGTGTTTCCGCATATGCCGCTTAAGTTTATAAGCACTTGTGAAAGACCAGCCACATCCCTGAACAAAAAAGACACTGTGAGATGAATCAAATCTCTACAACAATCACTGTCAGACAGGAAAGAGAGACATTTAGGGGAGTAGGGTATCTAAAATACATGTAGGGTAAAAATGGTTAAAGGGCACCTTGAGCCAAAGAGGCCCATAAGGTCAGAGTGTATAACGGAAGAACACAGGGTATACCTGCCAACTTTTTACGTTTATAGGCGTGACATTTTTTACCTTAAGAGTGCCAAGATTTTTTGTAGGGTCCGATAATATCCGAAGATGTCTGAAGAAGATCTGAAGACTTCGGAAGACGTTACCACAGGTGAGAGTAGGTGTGAGATCCAAGTTTTCGATCTGCAGGCGTGACAATCACGCCTTAGGCGTGACACTTGGCAAGTATAACAGAGGTATTACCAGTCCCTACTGGATAGAAAGCTAGTCTATCGCAGGGTTATACCCACCAGTGTGCAGTCGGCACTCATTTATACACTGTGGTGAAGTGAGACATAGAGAGAGGTTTGACTGTAAACATATGATAGTCATACCTGTACTTCACAGTGAAATGGCCTTTCACCCGTATGTGACCTCAAATGCAGCTTTAACTTCGATGCCTTTGTAAACCTTTTCTCACATCCATCTACAGGGCATGCATGTGGTCTTTCTCCACTGTGAATCTTCATGTGGGCTGTTAAAGTCCCATTGGCAGAGAACACCTTACCGCAACCCTCCATTTCACATTTATATGGCTTGTTCTCTGTTTGATGTCTTCTTTCGTGAACTTTTAGCTTGTGTGCTGTAGGAAATGTCTTGTCACAGCCTTCGTATCTGCACATGTGGGTGTCTGTTCTATAGTGGGCTCTGACATGTGTCTTCAAGTTGTAAGCAGTGGTGAAACACTTGCCACATCCTTCATGGGTGCACTGTTAAATAAAAAAAGTCCACCAGTCATCCAATTTGCAACATTTTTATATCCTACAATCAAATCCAGGCTTTTAAAAGATACCGGTAATCAACTCTCTTGACAGCATGCAGAGAAAGTTGTGTAGTGGATTTTGCTATCGGGCTAGTGATTTTTCGTAACTTGCCTGAAGGCAAGTGCTGTCTTTTGGGGAAATTCAAATTACAGAAGGATTGTAATCAATCCTGCTAATTAAAAAGGGTTTTGGGGCTAGTTGAAATGGCTTGTGGTCTAGTACATGCTAACTACAGCTTGCCCAAATGGCAGACTGTAAAACTGACTTTCTTTGCACCCTGCTTAACTCTCCAGGCTTCAGGAAGCCTCTTCTAGGCTCCAAGATAGTAATGTGAGGTTTTGCAGTAAAAATGCTTAAGGATTGGGGAAAGAGAGAGCCACTTTCCCCTTCCTCAGATTGCACACATCATATTTTTGCTTGGCTTGTTATAATTTTGCAACATCCCAACTATCTCAGAGTCTGGCACAGGCTAGACTTCATCTAGACTAAATCCTTCCCTTCTTTTCTGTGGTTCCCACCTATCTGTCCACAACAACAGAAGTAGAGGTCAAGTATATACTACATTTACCCTTAGTACTTGAAAATTGAACGTGGCACGTCGATCTGTTAAAACCAAATAAGGCTGTGCAAAAAACCTACCAGAAATGGCTTCTCTCCAGTGTGGCCTCGAACGTGCCTCTTCAATTTGTATGATGTTGTGAATGCCCATTCACACCCTTCTTGAGGACACTGAAATCAATAAAAAAAGGCCTTAATTTGATCAACGAAATCCAACTAGGCGACCATTTGTTATGATGTGCCAAATTTTACAAATCTCAAAATAGAAGACTTTTTATTTTTTTTTTAATTTCTTAGATACCTTGAAGGGCCTTTCCCCTGTATGCACTAGCATATGAAGCTTCAATTTAGATGCTTTGGAACACACTACATTACAGTCAGGGTGTGGGCACACATGGCGTTTGCCATCACTACACTGTTCCTCATCCTCCTGTTGATGCAAATTACCACAACAATGTTATTATCTTTCATTAGTGACTGTGCAATACTGCACCATACTGCATGTCTAACACTTATATCTGATTTTGTCTACAGAGAACCTTGTTTACGAGTTATAATAAAGAAAATACAAAACTTGGACTAGCCTGTGAATACAGCCTGACTTGTCACCTGCTCTCTGCCATCTGGGACATTTTACAATAGGGAGACATTATTTGCATTTTGATCCAATAAATTCCATACCAATAACACAATTCTGTCCAGGATCTGGCCAGAGACTCTAACGAGACCCTTCCCGGGTAAAATCGCGACAAGCAACATGGCCTTGAAATGGCGACATGAGACAAATAAAATGGTGACAAACAACACAAGGGGTTGAAATAATATTGCAACAGTGATGAAGACAATTTAAGCGCAAAAACAATAATAAATTGTACAATGCCAACAGGGACATGGCTTCCTCCTCAATGCATGAAACGACTGGTTTTGAAAATCAAACTAGGGAAAGCATACCCACCCTAAGACGGCCTATTAAACTGGTTAATATGGTTAACTCATTCAGCTACTGCTCATGAATAACATACAAAACACAAAAGGTCCTAAAGATCAAACGTTACGAATGCACTGGTCTACCAAGAAACTCTCATTTCTTTGTAACATATTTGCTTTTAATTACAAGAAGATTTCGAGTTTCACCAACACCAAATTAGCAGCAGAACTCAACATCTTACAATAATCAACTAGGATAAACAGAAACTCAACATACTTATTTCTAAAACCCCATCACTTTCAGATTAATATGACAGTATGTTAAAACCTTGATTCAAGTCACCATGAAATTTTTAAAGGAAAAAGTTTACTTACAGACAAAATAAATTTTCACCAGTGAGCTGCTGGAGGGTGGATTAGTTGAAAATTAAGCATGCCTCAGAGATACAGCGTACTAACTGACCAACCTAATGTGGCGGAAACATTGCGTACTGTCTTAAAGATTCTTGTATGCATCTGGAAAATTGTATTTGACCTACTTATGACTGGACGGAGTTCAAATACCTGTTCATCTTGTGATGTTTCATCCACCTCCATGCCACTACTTCCATCACGCGTCATGTTGATGTGAATCGCCTGGTTTCCTGTCACTCCTGGTACCAGCATTCCACTCAGCAACACCTGTTGCTGATCTGTCAAAATCACATTTCTGGTGAGATCTGCTGAGGAGGTAAGCACATCCAGAGCTGCAGTACTACTATCTCCATGATTTAGCATTGAGCTTGTTGTAACAACTTGATAATGTGTTTCACTCGCTTCAGCATCACCCTCTGTTAAAAATGTAGGAACTTGAGTTGGAAAGGAAGTCACATCAGCAGAAAGAATGCTAGTCGTTACCAAGGAAATAGCTTGGCTGTTGGGATACACTTGAATTGTTATTTCCTGTGTAGGTTTATTCTGCTCTTGAAGTAATGTGTTATTCTCCACATGTTGTCCCTGGTTTGTGGCTTCATGACCGAGACACTCTTTGTTGATATTGGAATCTTCTACTATGTGAAACAAACAAAAAGTAAAATTAAAAAACACACTTTACAAAAGAAGTATGAAAAAGTCAGGCCAGGTTAAATCACAGAACTAGTGATTTCACATGATTAATAAATTGAACAGAATAGCTGCATATACTTCTGAAGTCACACACAGTTAAATTCTTAAGAAGCTCTTATTTTATGGTCAGTTAATATCAATGGTGTGACTTCCTTACAGGGGTTACTTAGTGTAACCGTATAGTTCAAGGAGGTTATTAAACCCGACATTTTTATAAGAAAATAGCTTGAAGATTCATGTGCCCTTTTCAAAAAGTTCCACGAAAAAAAATTGGGAAAATTATGGACTCTAAGGTGAGGTATCTAACTGGGGTTTAGGACAAGAGAAACTAAGAGAAACCACATCTAATGATCATGGCACTAAAAAGAATAGCCTGTTTGAGGACTGGGAACTCCAAAACTGCAGACACCAGTTCCCCAAAAGATGGTTAAGTTTAAACAAGGTTTTCTTGTTTAAGAACATGTCACTCGCGCTTACAAAATACTGTTGTGTCTTCACTCTGAGATTCAGAGATCATAACATAAAATGTTACTCTACGCAATGCATAGGAAAGTAAGTATACAAAAGGTGGAACAAAAGTTTTAATCCTAGATTAGTGCTAATCGACCTTTCAGGAACTTGGCCCAGATGTAATACCCCACTGCATGCAGCATACCTATACAGTTTAGGTACTACATGTAAATGTATGGGAGTACCCTTAAGGTCCCCAAGTAAGACGTGACTTTGCACTTGACTTACTTAAAGAAGGCGCTCTTTGTTCTTCATTAGACTGTTGGCCATTCTGTAAATGTGTAGATGAGCAAGGGTCAACCAGATGTGCCACACTAGGGGATCCTAAAGGATCAATGCTTCTTATGTACTCTGGAACAACCCTGCCATCAACACTGATCAGGTTAAAGTCAGGCTTGATTCCTCCTCTTTCCAGATGATTTACTTCACCTTTAAAGGAAAGTACTAAAATATCGTTAAAAGAAACAACACTAACTGCCACCATGATCAAAGGAACCTTTCATTCAAGACAGTGCCGCAGAGATTTTTTAACGGCTCGCCAGCAAGGATTAAAAACTGTCCAAATTTTAAGATTTTTAAATGGAAAGCAAAAGTTCAGTTAAGAAACAATAACATCTGCGAGACTAGTGGGACAAAATCAATTAATCCAATTTTTTCCTACCCCTTCCCTACCCCCCCCCACCCCAAACCCCGGTAGAAATTCTGCTTGCTGTTCATACTTTTCCTTACAAACATTGAAACTGTGGCTCCTAGACCCTAATCCCCCCTTTGAATAATTCAAGTCACTGGCAATTATTGCCAGTGACAGTAATCTACGGGCTGGGTATAGAAATTTCTTGGGACCACCTAATTTCCAACAACAATGTTGGTAAGGATAGAGAATTTCAAGGATTTATGGAGATTAAAAGTACCTTCAGGGTGAAATGAACTCATGTCTTTATCTCCAATCCCACCATATACAGAGCGCGGGAATGTCATATCCAAATCTTCATCATGGTTCACTGCGCTTCCATGTTCAAATGGTGATGATAACTGGTCCTCTAAGTTGCCATGGAGATTAAAGCAGTCTTGTTCAGAGCTAGGCTGCTCAGAATCACAACATGCTGTTGAGACACTGGGCAGTGAGAACTGCTTTGAATTTGTTGTTATGGTACTCGTCGTTGTGATAATGAGTTCACTGTCAAGCAAGGTGGATGATGATTCTTCCATTTCATTTTGAGGGTGAGATTGGGTGTCCTTGCCATCTTCCAGAATTTCATTGTTTTTGCCAAACTCATAGTTGTCATCTTCTGTTAGGGAGCAATGCAAAGAGTATGTGAAAGCATGCCCCAACCAGGTTCTGATAGAGCTTTAAAATTCGCTCTATAAATTGCCTTGTGTTTGCTTAGGGATCTGAGGGAGAATGTGACATTAGAGTGACAGTCATTCAGTTCCTTTAATATAGAACTAAATGAATTGATTATTTTCACGGTAACATTTTAGCCAGCTTGCGTAACCCAGCGGCAACAATGGAATAAACAAAATCAAGGAGGCAAATTGGCTGTTACAGTTGTAATAACCAATGCGAACACATCTGATCAAGCATCACACTTTTTGAAAGATTTCTTTGCATCATCGCAAAACTCATGTTGTCAAACTTGATCACGATAGCGATGCAATCATTCGCTTTAATCTACAAGATTGTCATTCATTAATATTGATCGACGCAACTTTTATTTCTTGGAAAATACCCATACAGAGTCTAGATGTAAGATTTCTTGCTTCCAGCAAACGAACATTTCAAGGGCACTTAAAACAAATAAGACTTTTGTTATTATTCTTCAAATGTTGGGCATCATATGTTAAAAATAACAGGATGAGAACTTTCTAAAATATGTTAGTTTTGGGTTAAGGTTGAGCTCAGTGTAAGGTTAAGGAAATTTCAGGAATTGGCAAAATTTTACGTAAGGTAATCTTAATGCAAGTTCTATTTGTAAAATGTGTAAACTAAGCTTTTTACAACTCATATTGACATCAAATCCCGATATTGCTACTGCATGCATACGATTACAGACATTCTTTTGCGCAAGACAATAGCTGACCCCCAAAACAATAATTCATTCAGTAGTTTTGCTTTCCTTGAACTGAACAGTTTTAGAGTTCAACTGAAGTCCAATTTTATATGAATGCAGAATAATCGTTTTCCCGCGCAATTCAAGTATTTCTGAGAGCATGTCTTTGCTCTATGATCACAACACAACGAGCTTCCGTAAAACGTTCAAAACACGTCGTAAACGACTTATCATCGGATACAGAAGCTTATAACTCACGAACAAAATACTTTCCTACCGTTGGAACAGTTTTGCAGATCACTGGCCCCTGTGTGTTGTTCAGGGAACCCCTTGGAAAGTGATGGCCCCTGCGAATCCATCATGGCGCTCCCCACAGCCGAGAAGAAAGCAAAATGGCGGACGACATGCAACATGCAAGCGATGTGATATTGCGCAATAGCAAAACAAGAACGACTTCCATGGGGGGTGGTGAGACATTAATCATTCCCAGTATGTCTAAAATTCCAAAGAATAGGGTAGGGATGTGCGTTCTAGTTAATTTCTGGTTATAATAATAAAAAATGTTGAAATTGTTACTCAGGGTCCAGACACCAATACAACACACATTGATCGATACCCTAATCAAAACTGCCCATGCCCTAGTCCGTACAGGTATTTTTGCGCGCGATGGACACGCGGAGAGCACGCAGAGAAAAGGAGAGGTTACATAGCAAAATGTTGTTTGCTTTCTGATGAACGAGGAAGAGTTATAGGCGAAATTACCAGAAACTTTGTTTATGTTCCATGAGTAAGGGCCATGTCTAACGCCACAGACGATGGGAAAGGTGACAATGATCCCTGTCCTCTCCAGTACTTTGATTTTAAAATGGTGGACCACAAGGCGATGTGTCCTTTCTTCACTTCTTTGTTGACGCGTTCAACCGAACAAGGGATCGCACCAGAGGATCTCCACCTGCTTCAAAGCGACCTTGAAACTCTTCTTGCAGGCGCCAATCGCCGAATAAGACAGATCGACTCCGAAATGAAACTGTTGATTGACTGGGTAGAGAAAAAAGACAAGAAAAGCGTCAGGCAAAGAGAGTTAGAGATTCTGAATTCGCTGTCTTCATTTAAACGTAGCAGGTCAGCTGCTGAGGAGAAAGGAGCAAAACGCCAAAAATTTGAAGAGTCTCGTAGCGCCAGCCCAGCACCGGTGGGAAGACCAAAGAGCAAACATTCGGCTTCTTCTGAAGGAAGCCAGGAGGAGGAAACATTCTCCCCTAGTGTGAAAGCAAAAAGCGATGCCCCCAATCGCTTTTGGACGGCAGTTGAGCCATACTGTGCAGACATCACCTTAGAGGACCAAAAGTTTCTTGAAGAGTCTTTAAAGGTTCCTGATGACGAACAGGAATATTACAAGATCCCACCTTTGGGAAAGCACTATGCAGAAAAGTGGGCTCAGGAAGATCTTCTTATCGAACAAGAGGAAGGGGCTAGGATGCAGGACAAGAAACTACGTGGAACATTAACTAACACCACAAGTGAAAACACTGGCAAAACAAGCGAAGAAAAATCAACGTTAAAAAAAGGAGATTCTTCTGCACTCCCAGAAGAGGATCTGTGTCCATTTGGGCCTCTTACGCAAAGACTGGTCTCTGCTTTAATCGAAGAAAATATAATTGCACCAATTTCTGAGCAGAGTTCCTCCGTATCAGGAAACTCAGACAATGTTACTACTACAAGGAGTGGTAACAACCCCCCTCGCACCCCTACAAAGGCACCCCATGTACCTCATACTCGTACGTTAGAGGCGCGCATAAGGGAAGAATTAGTGTTCCAGGGTTTGATAGATGCTGATGATCAGACTGATGAGGAAAATGATGATGAAGTTTTATCTGAGCTAAAACGACATCAAAATGAGTTACGTGCTTTGATTGCAAAGAACAGACAGCAAAAAATGGAATTATTGAAACTAACTCAGGAGGAGATGAAGAGACAGGAACTCAAGCACAGAGCACAAGTAGCCGATGCAGAAGTCATGGAATGGTTCAGAAAAATGATGACCTGTAAACAAAAACGAAAGTCACCTACCAAGAAAGAGAAGGAAGCTGCTTGGAAGGCACTAAGGGAAAGGGAAGCAATACAAAGGGTTCTTGGAAACACATAAATGATTTATAAATATGTGTGAGGTACTTTTCTCCAGGTGTTCCAATAATTTCATGGCATGTAACTGCTGAAATTATGAAGAATACTTAGAATGCCGAGCATTAAAACCATGAACACATTGTACATGCATCTGTTGTCTGGCCTTCAGTGATTGGAACTGTGAGGAATGGGTGGGGAGGGGGAAGGACAGGTTGGTTTTAGGTTCTGCTTTCTTTAAAGCAATAGCAACAAAGGGATCGCAATGCTACCTCTGGAGACGAAGCGGGTGGGGGGGGGGGACTAGTCAAGACAGGGGACTGGTAGAATCAGTTAGTTCAAAAGTTTACAGTGACCAAAAGAGTTCTCTAGTCCATGCTATGAGCTTTTGTACCAGCATTTGATTGTGCCTGATTACCCTTCTTTTAATTCTATACTTTCTGGTAAGCCTGTGATAACTTTGTTTATGCTTGAGAAAACTTGCTGCTAGGGTCATACATTTTATCCTTGTTTGCAGACTTGGTGTCACTGTCATTTTTGGTATATTTTTTCAATAAATTAACAACCTGGAACAGTGATGTGGGCAAATATTCGCTTTAGAGAGGTTTTAAAGCAAAAATTAATACACCATCTGAAATCACTAATGTAAATAAATATTTCATGTTTATTTGCCACAAATTCTGGATCATGTATTTACATTCTCAACAATACAAAATACTGCTTTTTAAAATATGATCCATTTAATATCTATGAAAATAGACATTTTCATCCTTGTTGCTGATAAATCTTGTTTCCTTGCTATAGAGTTCAAAAACAGTGACGTAACAGAGAAAATGCATACATATTTCATACCAGTACATTGTTTACAGGTAGCCATTACGACACCTGGAGGAAAATCGTCAGTGAGGTTAAGCCTATATTACATCCTTACACCAATTCACTCTTGAACCATCAGTTCATCATTGATCATCAATTCAGTATCCATTTACAATGAAATAGTCCGCTAACTTCTCTATAACTGAGCCACAACAGCCTGCTTGCATTCCCTCTGAATATCCACCAATCAGGAGACACTTGTTGGTCTTGACTGCTACAGCACCTTCATTGCCTTTGCGACAATAGATAGCGTGTCCAGGTTCTGACCTAACAAATACATACTTTGTTCTATTAATAGCAATTCCTTTTGAATAGAAAGGTGAGGGATCTTTGGTGATTCCATTGATTAATGCTTGGGCCTCACTTGGAAGGACCTGAAAAAAATTATAAAATCAAACTTTCTGGCGTAATTTTCACTCCTGTGAACTCAATGTATTGTCAGTTAACCATTGGCAGCCCTTCTTATCTCCTTGTTATCTTGTTTGATTATATTCTAACTGTTCATACCCATGCTAACTGGCCAGAGAGGCACCAAAAGTACTCTAGAGTAGGCCATTTCCAAGTATCCTCAAGCCCCCTTATAATGGCCTGAGAAAACAGCCGTGTTTTAAAGATGCTACCAACAGATTCCACATGAAAAGATGAGGTACAAGTACTGAAATGTCACTACCCAGATCTGGGTAAGTGACACGCCATCAGTATTGAATTTCAGCATTAGTTCCTCAGACACCATTTTACGGGGAAACCATTGGTGGAATTGCAAAATATCGGCTCTTTTCTCAGGCCTGCTTTATCAAAATGAGAGTAAGTAAGAAATGTCTGATAAGGAAATAGCTCCTCATTCTCATTCAAATGCTCACTCATTTTCATATGAAAGGTTCTTAAGTTGCACTTGGCCTTATAATGAAATGAGTATTTTTAAAACTTGAAAATGGCTTGTTAAAGCCAATGAGTTTCCTTTGGTAATAGGTCCTACAATTGAGTCTAGTAGCAACTGGTGAGCTTTATTTTTAAGCCACACTGAAGCCTGTAGGGCTGAGAAAAATTATCCTTGAGCCTGCCCCCCCCCCTCTTTTCTTGGTCTGGATGTGCAGGCTCCTCTCTTACTTGATGATCTGAATCTGCCACTGTGAGGTCTGGTTAACAGAAGTACATATATGATGGGTAAGGTACGGTAAACTGTGTTACTTTAAATAGCAGCTGCTTAAGGTCAGTTTATAGGAGTGTGTAGCGTGCGCCACAAACGAAACTAAACTCTGGTTACGGCCATCTACAAACTTGCACCAAAATCCTTGTTCTGGGCCCTCACCAGTGTACCAGGATTTGAGTATTCACCATAATTGGCCTGTTGAAAAAGCTATTGTTGATTTGCCAATCAGGTTGAAAGGAAATTTGAAATGCACTGCCAGCAATTTGTTGAATCTGTAAGGGGCCGAGAACAAGGATCTTTGCGCTGCTACGCAGACATTACTAACTGGAGTTAGTTTACATCTGCAATGTAGACTATAGAGTGCTATAGAAGCTAATGCATTGAACCTCTAGACCAAGGTCTCAAGACTTGGTCATGCAATAATGTTGTTAGTCTTCAGAGAGAAAGTTTGCTTCCCACTGTGCAGGTGTACCGGTATATTTTAAAATGTTACAGTGAAAATATCCTCACTGAGTGTGCCTCATTGACTTGATAATAATTATGCATCATTATTAGAAAAGCAAGGAAGGGCCAGGCAATTATATAGAGATTCATAAAGCACTATAAGTATTTGTCAGTCAAAAAGCATTCAACTACGCAGACGAGTTCGCTGACTTCAAAAGTAAATTTCCTCTTGGATAAGTGAAGTCTATTTTTTTCTAATATTTAGTAGGTGCATATGCCCAAATTTTGCTGTTTCTAGTACCGATCCTGGTAAGTCATTCAGTTGGAACTGTTCAAGTTATTTAATTATAATCACTTGACACGACTGTGAATTATTTATCGGAACTGCCATTTTATGGCTTAACAGACAGGCGAGAATTCGCGAAAGCTGTGGGATCATGGGTGTACGATACTGTTCTTACGCTTGAAGAAAGAGATTTATTTGAGAACGTTCTTGAAAGCCCTGACAAAAACGATCAGTTCTTGAATATCTTAGGAAATTTAAAGATAGAGTCAAAATACTACACAATCAAGCAATCTGGCACGTGCTTTCAAAAATTTAACACAAGAGGCTTCTCAATATTCAATTGGCTTAGAAAAGAGAACTTACATAAAATATTTGGGCGTACTTATAGATGACACGCTATCATGGAAACATCAGGTGTCTTATTTATGTACTCGAATTTCTAGAAACACAGGAATTGTTGGCAAACTCAGACACTGCACCTCCCTTTTACAACTTAAACAACTATACTATAACCTGATCTATCCTTATATATCTTATGCGATAACCTCCTGGGGCAGTGCATTTACTACTCAAATTAAAAAAATCCAAACAAAACAAAATCATGTTATCCGCGTTATGTTCTTTTGCCACCTTGTTTGGACCAGATACAGACAGTGCATTACCATTACTTAATTTATTGGATTTACTTACTGTTACAAATATCTATAAACTACAGCTTCTTAACTTCACTCATCAGTGGCATTCTAAAAAATTACCAAATATCTTTAATCAGCATTTTCGCTATGCAAGTGAAGTCCATACATATAATCGAGATATGCTTCAAAAAGTAACTTCTACAAACCACGTTCCAGGACCAATATTGGAAAGCAAACAACAGCGGCTATGGCGATTTAATTGTGGCAACAGCTCCCTACCCATATAAAAGACCTTTCAACTTATAACTTTCCTAAAACATTAAAAGAATACTTGTTGGCGAACAATTAACTTACTGAAATTATTTTATTTTAATCATATCGTCATGTACTATGATGACTGTTTTCTCTTCTTTTTTTTGCCATCTATGTGCTTTCTTTTTTTTTTTTTATGGTGTGTGTCTTAAGATGTTTTGTATGTCTAGTTATTGTGATGTCCTGTACATTCGACACTACTTTCAAAGAACTAGTTGCTAGCTCGAAAACCTTACGGTTATCTAGCCGCTAGGCATTTCCTTCTATGTAATAATATTTAGTTTAAATTGTAATTGAATATTCTACGTGTTAAGTTACTAATTATTCAATAAGTTTGACAAACCCTGTAATGGAAATGTGAATAAAGTGTTGTTGTTGTGTTGTTGTTGTTGCATGCTGGCTGAAAGGCCAAATTATTTTATTTTTGCAGAGGAGTACAGCAAAGTAGATGTTCGCTTCTCTGATTAAAACATTCCTTGTTTGTTTCATCCGAGTAAGTGAATAGGCCCTTGTTGCTCATATTTCACAAACAGTCACACACATCATTTCAAGACCATCAAATATTTGAGAATATAAGCTCAGATGCACATATCCACAAGCCCAGTACATCTGCTCAAAAAATTGACGTAGACAAAATATATGACATCAAATTATTGATGTCTTACATTTTCTATACATTTTGTCTACGTCTAAATTCAACAAGACACATATTTGTAGTTATATATTTCGCATGTCCATCTTTTTACTAGAGAAAATTAAAATCTATTTAAGGTGTTAGTTCAGTTGGACGTCCATTAAGAGGTGGATCAGCGATAGCATGCAGCACACACAGCCCGGGTTACATGAGCATACATCTGCAGCGTAGAACACTAAAACACACCGATCCCGATTCGTTAAATCAATTATTGCGTTTTGCTGCTTGCGTGAAATTATATTTTAGTGGCACTGTGAACTTGGTAGTCAAGATTACAAAGAAAGAAAAAATTTTCAACAATGCCTGTTCCATTATATAGACCTATTCGGCTAACTCAATGTTGTACCCAATTCAAATCTCCCGGGTATAAGATTCTTTGTGTCTTGTATTTGCATTATAATGTGGCATTCACATTTAAATGATATGGAAATTCCTGAAACAAAACGTTTTATTCCCAAAGGGTTTGAATTGGGTACAACATTGCGTTTATAGCCGAATAGGTCTATTCCGAATGAAACTAGACCGACTTTGATTTTTCTTTTGCCTCACAGAATTCAGATTTTGTCCTTTTTTTCATACGGATTCTTAATTTTATTCAGATAGTTCCATTTATATTATCGTTACAAAGGACTCTATAAACAAAGTTCAGCACACGACACACAAAGCGCTTCATCAACACCTTGCTACAGAGCGCGAGCGATAAACGACAAATTAATTGAATATAATCGATTGTGATGTTTTATTTATAGTCTTCTAAAAAGGGAAATCATAATATTTCCGCAAATAAAAGTAATGGGAACCTCACTCCCATATAATTTAGGAACACAAGAATGTTTACGAAACCTAGAATAAACACCTAAGAATATACTAACCACAAATCCCGCACTTGAGGCATATCTTTTGCCGTCCAAACCATGAATCGAAGCTCTTGCCACCTGGCTTGTACCTAATAAACTCTCGTCGATAAAATTTTGCCAGCTCATCCGATAAAACAACAATAAAGACAGTTAGTTGGTTTACCACTTTGAACAAACGCCTATTTGTCCTATTATTCATGAAATATATTTGGCATATCCTTTCATATGCAAATCCTTTGCTCTCACAAACCGACAAGTTGGTCACGCAACAGTTTAGTTCCAGTTCTCTCGGTCTGTCAAATCAGTTGGCGGGAAAGTCATGTTCGCCATGTTGTGCGAAGATTGAAACACAATCTTCTCCATTATTTGTCCGCTTATTTTCTCAAAGGCCTACAATCTAAAATTGAAATGGATGCCTTTCTACGTGGGCAAACTTCTTCTAGCGGTTCATCGAAGCTAAAGCAGGCAGCAAGCGAAGAGAGCGCCGGTCCTTCGAGCAAGAGGGTCGCTGTTCCATGGGTTGAAAAATAGTGAGTATAAATGTTTACTCGTTTTTCTTTGAAAATGTGAAAAGATAAACTGTCAATGGAAAGGCTAGGTAAACTGCAGAATAACGGATCTCGCTGAATAAGAAAAGCTCTTTTGTGTTATATGTCCTGGAAATTTTTAAAGTTACAAAATTATGCTGTTGAGTTCTTCTTTATTGCAGAAACATTGCTGCAAACATTTTTTCCTTGGTTTGTACAGAAATTACCAAATCTTGTGCAAAATTCATCCACTTCACAACCAGCAACAACCGACCCACTCCCTCTCCCTAAGGGCAAAAACAGGTCCCCCTTTCCCAAGACAACGGTGTTCTTTCTTGATTGATATTAGCTTGATAATATTGGTTAGTGTACATTATACACTTAATGTCAGATCCCCAAGGAAACAGTTAGTTTTGTTTCCCGAGAGTCCCGATCTTTCCTTCGTCTCGGGAAACATCAGGACTCTCGGGAAACAAAACTAACTGGTTTTCTGAGGAACCTGACATCAAGTGTTTTGTTATCTTTCTAGACTTTCACTTCAACAACGACAAAAAAATAACCAGAGCGAATCAAAAGAGTCGACTCCATTCTGATAAGAGCACAAATTTAATTCTCAGAATCACAGAATGAATGATGTACAAAGTACTTTCCTAATATTAGCTGCTTCTTTTTCCTCCACTAGCTGCTGTTTCTCTTCAGGGATAACGTTGAAAATCGTTGCCTTTTAGCTTGAGGCTTGATGTTTGTGTTGTCGTGTTCATTCACGAAAAAGAAAACTGGCAGTGTTTTTCCTGCCTTCTGTCACACCACTTTCCACCATGCTTTGATCACATGCCTTGATGTATCCTGAGCGGGGTACAATTGCTCAAATGTATCACGATCGGAATACATTTGATTTTAGTCAATGCAAGGCCATGTGACCAAGAATCAGCCTATGGCAGTCCCTGTTTAGTTGAGTGAAAGTCTAGGAATATAACAATGCATGTTAAAAATATAACTTGGCTTGATTTGCATCATCAAACAACATCTTTAGCTTGAGTTCAGCTTCACTTCAGAAAGCAATATGCTTTATAAAACATTGGGGAGCTTAAGGAATGACGACAGCGATGGCTACAAAAATGTGACTTAAAAAGTCAATTTGCCTGCGTCAAACTTTATCACGCTTATCTCATTCAATTCATCAAAGAATGGTATTTTTTTCTGGAGTTGAAGTCTAAAAGACTGTATTGAAGTACAGGAAAAGAAAAAAAAGTCATTGTGGTGTGTTTACATTCTCCACAAAAATAATGTGAAATTAGGTATTTTCACATCATAGTCATGCAGAGACGGCAAAGAAATGTATAGAAAAGCATGTTGTGTCTGCAGAGCTAGTTTTTGTTTTGCCAATCTAAGCCTATTCCTTTTTTGCTGTTCTTGTTGACATCTCCGTTGTCATTGAAAGAGGGAGTAGGGAAGGGGATGCCTAACTTGGTAACATTGAAGTGGAGATCTGGGATGACTTCCCTTATTATTATTATTACCATTATAATTGATGTACACAAATGTAAGCTAATGCCCTCTTGTTGAAGTAGTTAAAACATTGTTACATTCATTTTCAGTCGTCCTAGATCTGTTGATGATGTTGCCTACCAAGATGAAGTTGTGTCTGTGTTAAAAAAGTCACTTGAGGGAGCAGATCTTCCTAACTTGCTGTTCTATGGTCCTCCTGGTACTGGAAAAACATCCACTATACTTGCTATAGCAAGGCAGCTGTTTGGGTATGCAATGATCTTAGTTCTGCCTGTCTTGTAACAGTGTACTACAACCAGTTGCAGAAATGTTGAGATACTTTGACAAAAAACCAGCCTTTCTTACTTCAGATCGCTGCTAGTCACACATCTATGAGATATATTACTCACCTCCCCCCTCCCTTCCATTCAAAGTTGTTCCACTAGGGTTTGAGCATGGTCTTGTATTGCTGGCAAGTTTGATTAGGGGAGGAGGGGGGATCATAAGCACAAGGTAAAGTGTCTCGAGTATTTTTGCAACCTGTTGAAGCTTAATTAGATACATGTCAGGGTTCGAATCCTGGCAAGCCTAAATTTTTTAAGGCTTAAATCTTTTTACAACTTTATAAGGTGCATCTTTTACTATGATGATCTTTGCATTTATTTCTTGATTCCACAGATCCAGTATAGAAAATTCAGATATTCATTAGTTTCATTTTCATCGGTTGCCATTGTATCTAGTCTCCCTCCTAGCCGTTTTAGTCTAGCCATGCAGAACTCCTCTTAAAACTCAAGTGCAGTTTCCAAACAAGAGCAAGGAGATCTGAATAAGTGAATTTGGGACCTCTGTCCGAGTTCCTTGTGCCAGCATGTAGTTAGTGAAACTTTCATTCAGTGAAACACAACTGTTTCATGTTCAGTCTTGTGATCATACTCAATAAAATTTTTAAAAATTTGCAGAGTAACAAACTTCAGATAAGTTTATATGAGGGGAGGGTAGTGATATTTCCTGTTATCTCATTTTTCAATGGCTAGAAATCTTTGAGGGGCCTTCAAACCCCACCTGCATCAAGCCATGGTTATGGGACAACATCCAAAGTCTTCTACTCCTGCAAACCACTATGTCCTACATTAGTTAATTTTGTTTTAACCACTTTGTCTGTTTTCACTTCTTAGATCTGACATGATGAAAGCACGAGTTCTTGAACTAAATGCTTCTGATGAGCGTGGAATACAGGTTTGTTAAAGTTTGGTAATAAAGTTGTTCATTAATTCAGGGCTTTTAATGAACTGTGAAGTAGGTAGCTGGTTTTGAGTCAAGTAACCAACTGTATCAACAAGCTTTGAAGAAATCTTTCTGTAATCTCTGTGAATTAGGGAGAAAAGTAGCCAAGTTCCCTGAAAAAAGTAGCTGGCAATGTGTATTTTTTGTGGGTATCAGTGCTTATTGAATGCTGCCATTTTAAAATATCTTGAAGTAATCTAAACTGGTTAACCCTTTAAACCCCAATATCCACCTATAAATTCTCCATACTGATCTTCATACATTTCCTTAAAGAATTAATTGAGAGAGTTCAATAACAGATCAAAGCATTTTCTCTTTACTGATCATTTTATTAACTCTCATAACCATTTCTCTTGGCAACATATGGATATTGTTAGGAGAAAATTGATGTTGGTCACTATTGGGACCTAAAGGGTTAAGCAGGGGATAACTTGTTTTATGGATCACATCTCTATTTTTTCTCTTCTCATTTATGGGATACATTACTAGACTAAACTCCCAAAATTCCTACATGTACCTATGATCCTAGAATCGCTATATATATTCAATATATGCCAGGCCATCTGTTGCTATTAAACTGCTTTATGGGTGAATTAAATTTTGCCAATTTCATTTTTGTAATTGGCAATTCCCAGTTTCCCCAGTCTGGAGTAAAATCTTCAATCAATTATACCCATTCTAGTCCTAGACTGGCTGATTTCTATATCCTATCCCAGACTAAAATGCTTGACAGCTGCACATACCTATATAACCCATATACAGAATTAACCCCACCCCTGGAAAGACATATATCATTTTGTAAGAATGTCAATAAGGAATCTTAAAATGGCATCATGATATGTTATATTGAAGGTGGTGAGAGACAAAGTGAAGAAGTTTGCACAGCTGGCAGCCTCTGGTTTACGAGCAGAGTAAGCGTTGCTTTTTGTTTGTTTTTGTTTGTTTCTTAAACAAGTGCCTGGAAAACATTAAACAAACAAGCAAGTGACTGTTTAAAGTATTGCTATTCCACCTTTCCTATATTTACTTTGAAACAAAGGTTGAAATTGAGAAGTTATTCTTTGCTATTTCTTATGAAGTTATAACCATTTTCTCTTTTCTTTAAATCATTAATTTTCTAAGCCCCTGATAAAGACCTGTTTTTTAGACTTGGAATTGACTTACTGTGTTTAATTTTTTCTCTCACTAGTGGTAAACCATGTCCACCTTTCAAGTTGGTCATTTTAGATGAGGCAGATTCCATGACACCTAGTGCACAGGTTTGATATGATTGTTAATTTTGTTTGTTGTCAAGTTTTGTCTAAAAAACATTAACTAGAAATAAGTAATCAGGGTTTTCATTAAGATGTCAAGTCGCAAGAGAAGGAGAATATTCTGAAAGAAGCTCCTCGTCCGAATAAAAAAATGAAAGATTGTTAGCTGGAGAAATCTGCATATTAAACAGAGAATTCTCCAATCTCCGATGCCTGATGAACACCCTGGATAATAGCTAAATGTTGTATTCTCACCTTAACGTAGACGCTTTCATTTAAAAATAAAATTATTGACGCACATTGTGAGAAGCAATTTTAGTACAGCCAATATTGGTACTATACTTGCTTATTCAGTATTAAGTCAAGGATTGGTTGGGTCCGTATTTGTTTACAAGAATTTATATTTGATTGTCGTATTAGGCAGCCTTGAGAAGAACTATGGAGAAACAGACAAAGTCAACAAGATTTTGCCTCATTTGTAACTATGTTAGTAGGTATGTGCACAGGCTTTTAATTTGTTGATTTATTACAGACAGTGGAACCTTATTTTTGGGCCATTCCTGTCAAAAAAAAAACAAATGTAAATATTGTAATTAAAATTTTGTTTGTCTATGAAGCACTTAAGAGTTCTTAAACACTTGTTTAAACGTGTCCCGAGGCATTTCTGATTGCATTGGAATTTTGAAGTGAAGAAAGAAAAAAACCCAAGTACCTGAAGAATGGTTCATGCAAGCAATGAGATTGAAAACAAAGCTCTATGTCTGGAAAGCCTTTCCATTTGGGAATGTTCTTGGAATTTCCAACCAGAAATTTTGCCGGATCTTGTTTACTGTGGGTAATGTCGACTGAGATATCGGTCGACATAGCGGTCGATATAGCGGTCGACAGTCGGTCGATATAGCGGTCGACAGTCGGTCGATAGTCGGTCGATAGTCGGTCGATAGTGAGATAGACTATCGGCCGAGTATCGGTCGATATTTCGTCGACGCACCTCGACTTACTATCGGTCATATGTCGGTGATGCTTCGGTCAACTGTCGGTGATATATCGGTCAACTGTCGGTGGTATATCAGTCAACTGTCGGTGGTATATCGGTGAACTGTCGGTGGTATATCGGTCAACTGTCGGTGGTATATCGGTCAACTGTCGTTCGAATATTAGTCGTGTGTTAATTTATCAGGTGAGTCCAATGGCTTTTTTTTTAAGCAAAGACGTCATTAATTACTGTTATCATGCGATGAGGGACATGTGGCAGTGCAAGGCGCGATTACGCTATGAAGAGAACCGAAGAGCACTGGGAAATAAGGACATGATAACCTTTTTTTTCCAGTTTATATCATCACCGATCGTCTGAGTTTTAGCTGTTAAACAGAATCTGCCTCAGCCTAAGTTAAATCTGCTGCTCCTGTGGTCCCGCAAAAATGTAGGAAAATGTAGCAAATGCTAAGTCTCGACCGACCATCGACCGAGTGTCGACCAATTACTGACCGACACATCGGTCAAGTATCGACCAACTATCGACCAAGTATCGGCAAAGTGTCGGGGAAGTGTCAGGGAAGTGTCGGCGAAATGTCGGCGAAAAGTCGGCGAAGTGTCGGTGAACGAAAAGCTATATCGGCCGAGACACATCTGGAACGACTATCGGCCGTGTCTCGACCGAGTGTCGACCCACTATCGACCGTCTATCGACCGCTATATCGACCGAGTGTCGACCGAGTATCGACCGACTGTCGACCGAGTATCGACCAACTGTCGACCGACTATCGACCGATATCTCGGTCGACATTACCCAAAGTAAACAAGATCCATTTTGCCTAAATGGAAAGGGCCCTTGGTGTCAGTTTTGAGAATTGCCACAGAAAACATCTAGCAGTCGTTTGGTCCAAAATGGGAGTACATTGACAAAACTGGAGTTGGTGACCATCTCATCAGACAAACTGAACATGTTGTGGCCCAGTTTTACCCTTGGTTCAGACATGTATTACTTGTTTTTTTCTTGACACTTGTCATACATTCATACATTACCATGACCCAAAACAAGTCAAGCTCAAATTTGGAACCAAAACATACACTCCTGCCAGTATCCTGCCGGCATTTTTGACCTTCTATCAGCTTTTATCTCATGTTGATTTTCCTCTTCTCTCGGCCACCCCACTTGATACTTCTTTCAATCTTAGCTAATCCAATTTTTATATTTAACTCAAAAATCTCATCCTATAATCCCATTTTTTTTTTATTTTTCACAGAATTATTGAACCCTTGACTTCCCGTTGTTCCAAGTTTCGTTTTAAACCTCTGTCTACAGAAACACTCGAGAAAAGGCTGAACATGATCTGTAAAGAAGAAAATGTGAATTGTGATAACAAGGTATGGAAAGATGATCTGTTCTGAAAATGGTTGAAAATAAGTAGTGGTGTTTCAACAATTCAGCCGCTCAAATTAGGTCACATTTTGATTTAAGTTCATGGAGTTTTATTTTATTTTTTATACAGGCAATTCACGAACTAATAAAAATTTCGGAAGGAGACATGCGAAAGGTGTGTAAGACTAGAGATAATAGTTTAGTTAGGATCAGTTTTTTTTTAATGGGTAATATTATTGTTGTTGAGGCCTTCATTTTCTTGAGAAGTACATAAATAACTTATTGCAACAAATGACCTACAGCCTTGTGCCCAGGACCAGTATCATATTATTTATGTGCCTGCTTTGTTCAAATGCACACATGTCTTGGAATTAAAATTTTCCAAGGGGATTTTTTGAGGCACCTATTTTTTATATATACAATAGGGAAAATTTGCATTTCAGTTTTGGCTTTGGAGGAAACTTTGTATCAGCACTAATTTTTTTTTTACTGTCAAGTCGTCGTTTATGTTGTTGATCATACCCTAGTTGAAGAAAAGGTCGGGTGTGGGGGTGGGGGGAGAGCTTATTTTGCAGAACTGATTCTTCCTCAACCTCAGCCATTTTCTAATCCAATTGACTGGATGTGCCAGCCTCTACACTTTTGTTCCTGGCTTCCTATCGTTAAACGATATAAATTATTATCATGATTTTGTATTTTTTTGGAAGGCCATAACATACTTACAGAGTGCTTACAGACTGAAAGGAGAGGACATAATTGAGGCTCATGACATTACTGAAATAGCTGGGGTATGATACTACAGTTGTTAAAATTATTGAGACCCTCTTGGGGGAGTGGGGGAGTATGTATGTCCCTAATCTGAATTTCGAATTGGTTGTTTCACGTTTTGAGGAGTAGGCCATATCCCTGTCAGTATTTAACCCATCTTTATGTTGTTTGTTGCCATTTCATCTATTCTTTTGTCACAGTTTTAAGGCCATTGTTACCCTAACAGGGCCTCATTATTACATTATTTTAGAACTATCACGGTGGGGCCAAACCACCCCTCAAATGTTGCATTTAGACTGTTTTTGGATTTTTTGGTAAGTCTTGCACCAAACTTTACAGGTAGCCTTCGAAAAGTAAGCTCATAAATTTACGCCGTTTTTTGACGTGTGATGTCAAATTTTGACGTCATAATCTATGACGTCACAAAAATGGTTGTGATCAAATTCGGAAATGTACAAAAATAGCTATATCATGTGAAAGGGCTTTATGGACAGTAAAATACTGAAAACACTATCTCGCTACGACAAATAGAACAAAAGTTATGACAGTTTAAAGACTATTTAGTTCCCCGAACCATACTTTTCTTCTAAATAAGACTGCTCCGATCTAATTTTTTCATTTTTGCCCCAAATAAAGTGATATTCTAGTAAAGTAAACCTTTCAACGCTCCAAAAAATCGTATCATTTTAGATTTTTGAATTTGGACTTTAAAACGCTTATCTAAACACAACAAAAATGGTCACGTGATTTTGGTATGACGTAAATAAACTGTTGGTGTAAGCATCCTCTCACATACCCTTTTTCTTGTCTTTTAGCTTCGGGCAATAAAGAGTGTCAATGTAAAACTTCAATTTTTGTGCAAAAAGAACACTAAAGTACTTAAATTTATGATTTTTGCGAAAAGGGGGGAACTCTTTCCAGCCTGTGAATAATTATCAAATTCAAAACGTCATATCTCAGCAAGCTTTTAAGCTATATAAAAAATTTTTGCAACCTTCTTCTATGCTTGACGAGATCTTTTTAAAACGCGATAAAAAAGTGGAAGATTCAAAACTCTAAAATTTAATTATCAATGACGTCATCAATTATGACGTCACAATTTTACATGAATTGTTGTAGTGCACACCAATTTGATTGGCTCGTTCTTTTAGAATTAGCGGCCAAGTCTCGTACACAAAGAACAAATACAAACAAAGTTATTGTGGATTGACCAAAAAACCCACGTTTTTGTCGCACATTCGAGGGGTGGTTTGGCCCCACCGTGTATGTAACCCAGAGTTCAGTTATTTTTTAATCTGCTCATGGGCACACAAGGAAAGTTAATGGGTAGTGGTGTGCAGCTGAGGCCTTCACAGTCTGACCCTGCTTAAGATTACAGGCCTTATTTTACGACCCTGATTCATTTCGTTTTGAATACAGAATTAAGTAATTTTTCAAACTAAAATCATGGAATTAGATGTTTTGAGAAAAGTGTTGGTACCATGAATGTAGACCTCTTGTTGCCAACCTTCACATTCTTTTGAAGGCTACTGGTCTAGAAAGACACCTTATTCAAGATGCTAAATGATGAAATTGTATACCCTGAAAAGACCCTGAAAACCATACCCTGTTCAGCAGCACATGCCTGTGTAGGTCAATAAGGGATCCCCATCCCCTTGGCCCCCAACCAGGTTCATTTCCAACAAAATCACTAGCCAGAGTTGTTTAACAGTAGAAGGACTTCAAATCTCTGACACCATTTTTGTTTGAAGCTTCTTGCTGACACTTTTGCCCATCCAATGAACTTTCAGGTTGTTCCTGATGATATGGCTGACAAACTTTTTGCAGCCTGTGGTTCTGATTCTTTTGAAAAGCTGGACTCTACAGTGAAAGTGAGTATTATTATGATTGTTGTGCTGTATCATGCCTGTCTGCTTTTGTGTTTGCAAAGAAGGACGAAAGATGGGAGCAGTCCAAAAATGTTCATTAGTAGGGTTCAAACTTGTACTTGCTGTTAAAACTGTCAACAACCTTAGGCATACATAGTGCATTACGTTAAGCACATGTTTTCAACTAGAGAGCCTGTATTGACCTGTATTCTTAGACAGAGTGTTAAAAACAAAGTGTTTTGGGCCTTAAAAGTATCTTACAGATGATTGTTGCACTTCCTTATTGTTTTCCTTATTAAAAAGGCCCTTAAGTGTGAAACTTGATTGGTAACAATAATTGTGTCAGTTTCAAGAAAGTTGTCAGAAATTACTTAGGCCCGGTTTAGACGCCGCTCCACTTATGTGCCGAACCTAACTGATGAATTAAATATGGCAAAAGAGCGGCGTCTGAATCAATTTGGTGCTGCAGTTTTAGTTTGGTGTGGCAAAAGCGTAAAGTTCGACAGAGGCTGTCGAACTTTTGTCGAACTTAACTTAAGCTAGACACACGGTGTGCCGTCTGAATCGGATGCCGCGCCAGTGTCGCTCCAAAGACGAACTTATTCAATCAGGTTCGGCACATGAAAAGTACGGTGTCTGAACCAGGCCTTAGCCTGCAAAGCATGCATATTTTGCAGTGCCAACGATGATACTAATGATCTTCCACCATCTTGGACATTGAATCTGATAGAGAGTTGGGGCGAGTCTAAAGCCTTAAGGTGGCTGTCTGGGCTGCAGGCTAGTAATTACTATGAGAATTAATATTTTTGTCCAGATTGGGTGTCTTGTGGGAAACCCTGGACCCTCGCCATAGTTCTGCCACTGAATGCCATGGACCAATCCCCTAACTACTATGCATTATGCCAGTGGTTCAGCATGAGCAAGATGATTAAATGTTATAGCAATTTGGGAACAAACCGTTTTCTTGGCTCAGTTACTGAGATATGTTCTCTTGAAATCATATCAACAGGAAATCATTGCCGAAGGACACGCTGCAGCCCAAATAATAAATCAGGTATAGCACAGCCTAGAATAAATTATTATTTTAACTGTGTATATTTCATTGAATAAGAAAATTAAAAACGTGGTTATTAAATTATCCTTTTTCGCATGCGGCTGACCCAGAGTTTTTTCACCGCCCAAATAATGCCTCTTGTTACTACAAAATATGTATATTTATAAGTAAGACACAGATTTGATGGAACCTAAACCATTATATAGGCGCTTGTTTTAGGCATCTTACTAATGAACAGTTATATTCAGATTTTCCAGCAATAACAATTGTGGCCTCAGTGACCCCTTCAAATTTATTGAGTTTTTTTGTAGTAATTGTCTTGAGAATTTCTTATTTCCCCCATTTCTAAACAGACAATTATCTTCGTGTTTGTTTGTTTGTTTTTGTTTTTAGGTTCATGACAGAATTGTTGAAATGAGCGAATTGAATGACCATCAAAAATCTGCGATCTTGGAGAAATTAGCTGTAAGATATTAGGGAGCTTAAGCAACAACGTTTTTGAGCGACGCACGTCAACCGGAAGTGGCCTTTTTTCATTTTTTGACGGTGGTTTCGCGCAAATTTTCAGTCAAATCGCCTCTATAATAGTAAAGAAGCTAAGGAATACAAATTTTATATCATCAAGGCATGTTAAGAGGGAAAATACCTCACTTGCGGTTGACGTGCGTCGCTCAAAAACGTCGCTGCTTAAGCTCCCTATTGACTTGTACTTTGCTTAAATCTCTTTTCTGCACAACTAGCCCATACAACTTAACATTAATCCTTTAAGCCCCAATATCCATTTACAAATTCTTTAGACTGATCTCCATACTTTTCCTTAGAGAATCGGTTAAGAGAATTTGTTTTTAGATCAAAGCTCTGCCCATCATCAATGGTGATTTTTTTCCCATAATCACCATTTTTGCCAAATTCGCCATTTTCGCCAAATTCACCATATTTTTATTCGTCGAAATCGCCATTTTCTAGGAGGCCCCTTTGCCACTTCATTTGAATTTTTCCCCAATTTTTTTGAAAACTTGGCCATATTCGTCGAAATCGCCATTTGCCATAAGGCCCCTTTGCCATCTCATTTGATTCTTTGCTATGAGTTTAAAATTTGCTAAAACTTTGGCAATTTTTTTTTCCAGATTCGACAGTTTCTTCAAAATTGCCCCTTTTGCCACCGCATTTGAATATTCCCCAAAGTTTCACGAGCCAGGCAAACGCAGACCATAATCATGCTGTTTGGCAACTGTTGCTTCAGCAATCAACTTGCAGGTTAATGTCTCTCTGTTCTTTTCGTTTTTTGTTTTTTGTTTTTTTAGATTGTCGACAAATGTCTGTGCGATGGTGCGGATGAGTACTTGCAAGTGCTTAGCCTGTGCTCAGTTATGATGCAACAATTTTGTCATGCCGGGCAAACATGAACAGTTTGGTATCAAGAGACTGAATACAGAGCAAGACAGCGTCACGCGAACAATGATAAATAAAAATTACTTTTAGGTCTTATTTGCATATACAGCGTATTCTTAGTAATAAACAGAACATACACTAACAGCTCCGATTTTATGAGTTTGCCTATGCTACCCAGAGATGTTTTTGACGTGTCCCAGGGGCACCCAACGACGGTTTACTCTCAAATACATTAAAAACACTTTTTAGGCTATCCAGGGTACTTTTAGATGTCTAGAAATGCATTCTAAGCGGCGCTAAAGAATTTGTATCTGTTCAGTCATCTTAGGGGAACTTGAGTCTTTTCGAAATTAAAAGGGCCACAGTATTATTTTCCCGAAAATTTTAGAGGCAATTTAACGTATTACGAAAGTGATAATCTTTCTTATTTCTCTCTCCATCATATTTTTGAATCCGAAAATTTTAGGTTTCCTTTTTGTACGAAAATTAGCCTAACCTAGGGAGTGAAATGTGAAAAATTAAACTATAGAAAAACCTAGGGAATTTATTAGATAAGCTTCGAAAATTGTGCATTAATGGAACGGCCATCTAGAAGTTTTTAGCCGTCCTCAAGTAATAGAAAATTCTAGGCAATGTCTGCTTCTCCGAACAGATATTTACAGAAAACAGTCGTTGGGTGCCCCTGATGTCCCCTAACAGAAGTTGGAAGATTAGCAATTGACAGAAACTGTTTCCGTTGTGCGGTCAAGGATGCAACGTCCTATGGTGATAAGCAGTTAAATGTACTGTTTACCCAGAAATACACACACACACCCAAGGGTAGATACAGGGCATACAGGGTCCTGTAGGTCACCAAGGACCTCAATTGCCCATTTAATACAAAACTGCAATCAACAAATCAGTGCACGCCTAAAGGGGCTGTGTTGGCCCGCAAAGCAGGCGTATTTTGCTGTGCGATCGATATGGACTTTCGACTGACTGAGAGTTGGGGCGAGTCAAAAATTGATTCCAAGGGAGAGGTCGACGCGTGAAAATAGCTGAGGGGGAGAGGGGGAAAGGAGTTTTTTCCTTTCTCTCCCCGCCCCTCCCCCCTTGCCTGCTCCTCCTCCATGTACCTTTGGGTCGCGCTCTGCAGGCAAGGGCTGTGTTAGTGTCATGGCTGTCTGTTTCATTTTTTCAAATTGCCAATTGTGCGTCCGTCTTCGCTATGGAACGTAACGATAGTGAAGAAAATTGGTAAATAACAAGATCACAGCTTCGTGTCAAACAAAATTTGTCTCCCAAATATTATATCAAAATGTTACAAACAACAAAAATGAACTCAGTTGAAAAACTGTTAGGCTAACAAGTTTCCAAAAACCACTTGCAATCCGTTTCAATTTTCTTTGAGTTTTTCCACCCGTTCCTCCTTTTATATTTACTGTAGTATTCATACCTTCCTTTCATGTTTTGAGCTCTTATTTTTATGTTTCACTCAGTTTGAGGGCGGTTAGCCCCATGTAAAATTTTGTTGAATTTCATTACACACCTCTTTAATTATAAAACCCGCTATCACCAAAGGAAAAACAATAAACAAACAAAGCTTGTAAAGAAATTGAGTGCGACACTGCCGGATTCAAAAAACCGCAAAAACGTCCACTTAGTAGACAAAAAAGAACGTATACTCAACCTGGTAAAACAGCTTCGGTGCCAATAAAGAAAACTGTGGTTTCCTCGCCACTCTTTCTTTTTTCAAGCTATGTTTACATCGTGTGCTGTTACTTCTTTTGCGTTGTAGATAAATGAATTAAACAGCTTCTAATGGTTAGGTATGAATTGTTAAGGCCTTCCGCTGAACAGAGAAGCACCAACAGAACTGCCCAACGAGCAAGCTCTCCCGTGCCGGGCGCTCGCAGGCAACTCCATGCCCATTAAACGGCTACGTAGACCTTTTTCGGAAAATCACGCTATATTGGCTGTGGAGTAAACGCGAACAAAATTACGTACAGTAGTTATATGCCAAATCCGTCATTCATTTTAAAATTTACACTTTTCGATCCTGTTCGTGCAAATGTGACAAAACTAGGTCAAGATTCGGTGCGATCAGCAAACAATTCAAGTTTCTTTGCAAAGGACAAAGACAGCTTGTTCGCGAATCCTCTTAAGTCGATTTAAGAGCGTATTACAAACGTTCTTATAAATTATATGTTCTTTCCTCGATTAAAGAAATAAAAATCCGACAAATTAAAGTGGGAGACTGCAAAGCGTCATTAAAAATCGAGGAAAATCCTATTGGTAGACTCACTGTTATTTTGTGTTGCATTTGCCCCCAACTAATATGGTGTCACCGAACACCCACGAAAAGGTCTATTATCTGATGTCATTTGAAATTCTGGCCAAATTAGACGACTAGAGATTTTCTCTACTTAGTTTTCATTTACGCGCTAATGGAAAATTCAAGCTGAACTTGTGGTTTTTCCGTCACAGTTTGAAGCTAATAACTGCGGCGGGAAGCCTGTGACTGTTTTGCTTGTAGCAATTCAGGTGGTTAAGGTAATTGGACTTTCTGGGTTAGCACTTTATTTTTTACATTACTACTTTTCAAAAAAGGCAAATGAAAGCTTGGCCATACGTTTTTTCACGATCCTCTTTCGACTTTATAGTCCAATAATTTTTATCTTGTGGGAGCTTGATACAGCTAAAGATAAGAATAAGTCGAAAAACTGCAAATATTTTGCAGTTTTTCATTTGCAGCATTATAAATTTTAAATACATCTGTATTTGTTAGGAGTATTGCTATGGTAGTCGAGAATGTCAGATGTTTTCAAACCAAGAAACACTTTTTGTTTGTGAAAATGATTCGTTAGAATGACAAGACTTAATATTCCAGTTAATATTGTATCTTTTGTGCGATTCATAGCACGTATGAGGCTGAATGGTTTTCTCTTGGATTTTCATTAAAACGATTTCTGAATTAGTTAAGGCGGGTGGTCCCATTTTGCTCCAAGCCAAAGTGTTCATTAGGAGACAACCGCCGACAACGTGAAATCCGGACGTTGCTTGCGTATGGCGAAGAGTCGGTTTCTCAAGTCAGTGAAGTTTTTTTTATCTCAGTAGGAAAGACACAATGTTCGTAAGGACTGAAAAATTGGAAGATATTTCCTTGTTCAATTTGCTTTTGCTGCTAAATTTATTCAACCTGGTATTTTTGGCAAAAGCGGTTAACATGACAAGGTAAGTTACGCTTTCCAGCGTTGGAAGTAATGTAGGTTAGCTAATTCCACACGCTACGGTGTGAAGTTTGTCGGAACCATTAGACCCATAGCCGAAACAGAATTTGCAGCTGTTAGCGGCTGTTCACTATGATGTGGACAGACGCCGTGACGCGTAAATCATGCGATTAATTAAGCTTTTCCGAAGTCGTATGGACAGAAATATTAAATATACATTTTTTGCACTGTGTCCTTCCGCATTTGCCATATCCGCGGTGTTTACCAGCAGAGTATAAAGCACCTCTTTATAACAAAGCCACCGGAGCAAGGAATTATAATCATGGATAGTTGTAGTTCAGGACCCCAGCATAAAACATTCTCCCAGACTCGCTGAATTTGCACTTGATGTATCGGGTTCAGCACAATTCCAAATGCTTCAGTTAACTTTCCTGTAGGACCAGTCCTTACAACAAGATTCACACCCCGACGAAGGACTACAATATTAGCGTTCGTAACCTCAGTTTCTAAAACTCCCTTACCGTGGCAAATTTACTCCATGCACTCTAAATATTTGTGATCCCAGGAAGAGGCCATGTAACGTGGAGTTGTGTAATGCGCAATTGAGTATGTCGATTAGGTGTTGTCTATCATTCACCTTGATGGGTCTATGGGGATCTTTGGTGGTGAGGAAAAGGGCTAGCGTGGTCTCCGCATTTCAATTCTGAGAGTTGATTAGCCGTTTATAATAAGGAACATGACTGCTGTATATTCCGTTAGAGCTCCTGTTTTGCTAAAAATTTGGATCTCTATTTTCTCTGGTCAAGCAGACTACATAAGTACAAAGTAGACTCTGTTTTCATCGTAACCGTTTCTCACAAGCGCTGATGCAAACTGAATTCACTAGAGTAACAAAAATGGAATTGTATTAATTGTTTATGCTACATGCGAATAGCCCAAACAAGATAAACAGCCGAAAAGGTCGAGTAAAATAGAGTAGTTTGTCCTTATTGTAAAGAAGCAAATCAAGTGCGAAAATAATTACTCCTTGGTATTTGTTCATCAGGACGGCTAACTAAAAAGGTTTGTCTTTTGATCAGATGGATTAAAAATGAAAATAAACACTTGTTATTATTATTTTCCTTTATTTGAATACTCTAAAGGAAATACACAATTGTTTAGATAAGATGAATTTCATAGTATTACCTGATAATTCACTGCTAAGAAAAATCAGTGTACTATGCAAAGATTATTTTCGCTTTAAAAACAACCATTAGATAACGTGAAACAAATGAGAGTTTTTACTGTAAAAATTCTTAGTGGGGCCACGATATTTGTATATTTAGTAATTACTGATTGTTTGTATTAGGGAGGTTAAATATGTTAGGTTTCGATGGGAGGCCACACAAATAATTCAAAATCATATTCTTTCTGTTTGAAAATACTCAGCAAATGCCGATCTCTTACTTTTATTAAACTCAATCCACAGTGGGTGAAATAGCAGTGGTTGGTTTTCATTATGAAAAGTAACTACTGTGTAGGGAATAGTTCCTTAAGTTCTAATCATCTTTTATTTCCGAACTCTAAATATTGGCAGTAATTGGGCTTTAGATCGTAAAACATTTACTCATTTTGTCATCTTGAATGCATATAGAAGTGCAATCAGAGATTTAGCGTATCTTAATATTGTGAAGAAATTTTCTTTAAATGATCTAATTGTTTGCTTTAGCGCACAACTAGTAGTGAAGGAGTATTACGGACATCTGGGACCTTCAATTTAAAATGGTATAGTTAGTGCTCGGTCAATAAGAAGGTCATTCCTTGATACGCGATTTGGAAAAGCTGATGGTGTATTTGCAGCATAGTATTTGGAACTGGTAAAAAAAAGTTTTTAAAGGATTTTCTGTCTTAGTTTCCATACCATAATATCTATCTCTGACTGCCGGTCGTTTTTTACGAGTTATTAGAAAACCACTAGATATCAGGAAAAAGTTGGGAAACTGCTGATACGGAATTTTTTCGAAAGTGCCTTCGGCCCTGTCCACTGTATTTTCATCTCGTCCGGGTCGCAACCTGTGATCACCCCACCGTTGAAGTACTAAAGATTTTCAGTAATTCCATTTTCTAACAATTCTTATGACGAAAAAGAACGGGCCATAATGGAAAAAGGTGATAAAACCTCTCGACAAGATATTCTGCTCCGTTTTGCCGTATATCCACGACATCTTTTAAAGGTCATGTCATGAACATAAAATGTAAAAACCATCTTTGTAATTTAGGTCCACTTAACAGGGTTTGGCAATGATCTAAGCACTTCTAAACAAATGGGAGATGTCGAAAAATATTAAAAAAGGACTTTTTTTGTCAGGAACGATGCAAACAAGACTTTTTTGGAAGCCAGTACCCGTACTTCAACGATGTTGGAACAGATGCTTAATGGTTACGACAAGAGACTGAGGCCAAACTTCGCAGGTAAATATCAGTGATATTGTGTGTATTCAGGAGCCGATCCCAGAGTATTCGAAACCGGCCTACTGACGCAACCTCGTCACCAAGACTTTTCCCATTATCTAAAGGAGGAGCACTGGGGACGAGGTTATAGTCGTTGGAAGGTTACCTCGTGTAACTGGCAACATGTTGGAATGATTCACGCCCGCCATGATCGTAAGTGAATGACAGCCGGGCTACAGTAAGCCCACGCACCTTTAAAGAGCCAAAGGTCATAGTAAACCTAAGTTCGTAAGTGGATCACTAGGCACAGTAAACCAAGTTCGCATGTTTGTCTGGACCTCAGGTCACAGTTAGCCCATGTTTGTCAGTGACTCACAGTGCCTCACAGTAGATACACCCGCTTTAGTACACCACAAGTCATGGTACAACCATGTTTGTATTAAAGCCTTGACCACTGATCAAAATACGCCTATTTTAGTGAGTAAACTCATTTAGTTACTTCATTCACAGGTTCTCCAAGTGAAATAAAAATTTCCATGCACGTGCTTTCACTGGTCCCGATAAGAGAGATCGACATGGTAAGGGAATCATATACACCACCCTTAAACGTTATACTTCCTTCTTTATGCCAGCTCCCGCTGGAATATGGTACTTTGTGATGTACGGCAACCATAGTCAGGGACACGCAACAGCGGTTTCCTCCCAAATACATTGAAAACACTTTTTAAGCTATCCAGAATGCTTTTAGATCTGTAGAAATACATTTTAAGAGGCGCTATAAAATTTGTATCTGTTTGGTCATCCTAGGGAAGCTTGAGTCTTTTCGAAATAACAAGGGCCTCAGTCTTATTTTCCCGAACATTTTAGAAGCAATTTAACGTATTACGAAAGTGAGAATTTTTCTGATTCCTCTCTCTATCACATTTTTGAATCCGAAAATTTTAGGTTTCCTTTTTTCTACGATTTTTTTTTTATAATAGCCTAACCTAGGGAGTAAAATGTGAAAAACTAAACTTCAAAAAATCATAGAGAATTTATTAGAATATAAGCTTCGAAAATTGTACATGAATAGAACGGTCACCTAGAAATGTTTAGCTGTCCTCAATTAATAGAAAAATCTAGGCAATAATTATTGTCTTCTCCAAACATATATGTTACGGAAAACCGTCGTTGGGTGCCCCTGTATAGTGTTCTTACCGGATTATAGATATTCCTTACCAAGAGAACCTTTTTTGGCTTGACCTCACCCCATTATTTTTAAGAATTGACATTTATTTGTCACTGAGGATTTCTGGGTGTTTCAAGATCGAAACAGATTGTAATTGGCGAGTCATCTTCAGATGGTAGTATTTTATTTGTCCTTTTCTTTTCTCATAAAAGGAAGCGAGGGCCGTCATATTCTTCCGTGAACATTGGACTGATCCTCGTCTAGCATATGGTCCTTCGCTGGGAATTCCAAAGATGAAGCTCCTTGGGAATATTGTTGATCAAGTTTGGCTACCAGACACATATTTTGTGAACGATTTGAGCGACACAAAGTCGAATGAAGATTTTTTGTTTGAACTCACTGAGAAAGGACGAATAACGTACAGTTACAGGTCTTGTAAAATAATTCTACTTTACGCTCTTTGTATATAAATTTATTCAAGGGAGAATGTTGGCTTTTGACATTAGTCATCCATGTACTTAGCCCGTGTTGAATTATGATATTGTCGTAACAGGAATTTCTACCTATCTACTACCGTCAAAGAAAAAACATCACTTGTTAAATTAGTTTTCCCTTTAACAGAAAGTTGTTGTTTTCTTTTTTTGTGATAAGAAGGGCGTCTATTGTCAATTGTACTTCGCCATTCCCCTCTTGACTTTTGGCTTAAGGCCATAGTTTAAGATCCCTGGCTGTAGTTCCCTATCAACTAAGTTGTAAAGTGTTTAACTGGCCGCAGGCACAAACGTCAGATCTGCACTTCTCGTCTTTAGGATTTTTACAGCTAGTGAAAGCGTCAACACTCCTAAGTATTCGTGAAGATGTTTTTAACTTGATGTTTTTGCCTTACCGTATTCAGGAGAACGCTTCGTTTGTACTGTCCTATGAATTTGCAGAAATTCCCAATGGATGAGCAAATTTGTGAAATGGCATTTGAAAGTTGTAAGTATGTTTACACGGTATTTATACTTCAACCATCTATATGAAGCAAATTTCAAACAGTTTGGCAAAAGGTAGAGTCACAATATCCCAAGAAACAATTGAAATACGATTGTTGCGAGTCTTCTTTAATACACCGTTACTTTGTCCGGTGGAACATTAAAGGAAAACCCACATAAATGGCACCCTTAAAGTGACTGATTAATGGCCCAGTTCAGACGTCGGGGGCGTGCCGTGCCGAACGGACATTATATATTTTGTTTTTAAGACAGCACGCGAGGCACAAGCAACCTCTCTGATTCAGACGCCGCAACAAGTCGAAAAATTCAGGATTTACTGATGCCTTCCCTCCTGTTTTATCCCAAGTCCTCGTGGGGACGGCGGGTGTCCCAAAATACATTAATATAATGGGATAATTTTTTTTGTGTATCTGGACGTTTGAATCGCTTGATGCCGCTTAAATGAAATAAACGGCAGCGCTTGTCGAACTTAATTGCTTGCCGAACTTAATTCAAACTGGAATTCAGACACCGTGCTTATCCCAACTTTTGTCGAACTTAATTCCTGAATTTAGTTCGGCAACGGCAATAACACGACGTCAGAATACTATCTAACTGGAAGATAATGCCTACCGTAAACCCATAGTTACCCTTCACTTCCAACTGGTTCGTATACACCGTCGTAAGTGGTTCAAGGAGGGCTTTTAAACGGAGGGGCTTACAAACGGAGGGGGTTATATCCAAGGGGGCTTATAAACGGAGGGGGTTATATCCAAGGGGGCTTATAAATACAGGGGCTCATATCCGAAAGGGCTTATAAACGGAGGGGGTTATATCCGAGTGGGCTTTTTCGTTTACGGGTAGATGTGTTTATCACTGTGGGGGGTCTTTATAAATGGCAGTTGACTGTATACGTTTTTATTTCAATTGCCGTAGATTCATACGCTGTTGAAGATATTATTCTCACCTGGCTTAGTCCAGACGCCCTACAAATAGATGGAAAGTTGCAGATCCCTCAGTATACTCTGGTTGCCTGGAAACAAAAACATGATCTTAACAAATATAGTACAGGTAATTACTCCAACCCGAAAGGCAATGAGGCAAGCTTTGATTTTTTTCATTTTTTTTAATTCTCTTATGCCCGGTGAGTTACTATGGATATGTGACACAATTATTTGATTTATTATGTAACAGGTGAAATTTGAATATTGCAAATTGTAAAATTGTTCTTTGCATTTTGCCGGCTTTTGGGAAATTTTACGAGTAAATTTTCATAGCGGAACTCCTCGCGCGCCAAGCGTAGCCCCATGCATTGCTAAGAAAATTTGGTTATGACGTCTGCGTACGCCCGCCCGTACGTACACTACATGTTAGCCGATTTCAAGTGTCACATAAGATCTTGCACAAATTGACACTATCCTGTCCGCTATATAAGCCATCTGTATGAAGATGAATTGACAACTGTCAAAATCAGGCATTCGCTGACAAATATCACATGGCCATCTCCAGGGCTCAGATGAAAGACCGGTCGTTTTGAGGTGAAGTTTTGCATTTTAAGCACGTCGATCGTTTCAGCGGTTAATCGCATGGCCGCCCGGACTTTTAGGGAGAGTCGAGGTAGAGAGGGAGAGAAAACGTGTCTTTCTTTCGACTAAATTTTAATGTCCACATTAACATGGATAACAGGGAGAAAGCTAGAGCGAGAAATAAAACTGAGTCCAGTTTAGTTGAAAGAAAAAAAAAGAAAAATTTATAGCGGCCAGCAAAGTGAAAATGAGCGGCAGTGAAAAACCAAAGTGAACAGGAACACTAAAATTTCCTCCATAAGTCGAGTAACTAGGGAGTTTCTAGAAGTGTCACGTTTTGGTCGTGCAAACTGACGGCAAGGAAATATACAAAAGGTGTGCCGCACGTGCAAAATATTTGCAAATTAGACCTATTGTTGTTGTTGTTTAACCGTCCTCGTTGTCTTAACCGTCTCTTTAGTATTACATGATTTTATATTTTCATGGGGTAAACTATAAATATTAAAGAGAGCTTCGCTTTTAGCCCTGGCTAAATCTATATATTGAGCCTTTAAAAAGTTGACAGATGGATCATTAAGATTATACGTTACATATATTTACCCATTTTATGTTATTATTCTTAGGGAATTTCACTTCATTAGCAGCAGTTTTGCATTTCAAAAGGCAACTCGCTGCTTACTTCCTTCAAGAATTCATTCCGACCATTTTGATCGTGGCAATCAGCTGGGTTAGTTTCTGGATCGATGAAAGATCGGTGCCCGCTCGGGTGTCCCTCGGAATCACGACAGTCCTCGCGTTAACAACGCTTATGTTTGGAATCCAAACCTCTATGCCGAGAGTTGGCCACGTGAAAGCCATCGACGTCTTTCTACTATGTAGTTTTTTCTTTGTATTTTCCGCCCTGATAGAATACGCCATCATCTGCACATTATCGAACGCACATTCGTCAAGGGTGGATGGTAGCTTGAAGCAACACTCACATGTGAAAGTGATCCCGTCTGAAATACTTGATGAGAACAAGAACGGGAAAATAGCTGGCGACAAAAACGAAACGCCAATTCAAGACTTGGCGAGAAAACAAGGTGAAATTCAGGTAAATATTTCTATTAAATGTTGCAGCACGCTTAATAATTAGTCTATCTGCTGCAGGTCAAGTATTTGCATTGTTCTCCTGTTGTGTCTTTTACAGAGCAGCCCGCAATCCTAATCTCCAGGTTGTTATTACCCATGCGTCGCATGTGTTTCAGCCTGCTAGCCAGCATTTTTTTGGACTTCCACTAAGAATGAATGGAATGCACAGAACGCAATTTGATCACACGCGTTTCGAACTTCTACCCTCTGGCAAGTGAAACCTACGCAAAGCACCAGCGTTGAGGCAAAAGCGTTTCAGTGCGGCTTCGATCGTTGTCGCTCGCACTCTGTAACCTTTGGTTGGTTAAGTCTTCTGTCATAAAAATGAACGAGAATGACACTGTTATGTTACATATCGTTAAACTACAGGCTAACCTACTAGATACTGTTCCTGCGGGGGGAGGGGGGGCATACTCCTTCATATAAGCTATGTACGTATGCGCTATTCCAAACGGTGCCGTTTCGGTCTGTTGGCCATTTTGCTCTGGAATCGGGTATGGGGGAATGTTTGAAGATATTTGTCCTTTTAATTCCAGATGAATAAGAAAGAAAGTGTAATATGGAAAGTCGAAATGGAGTTTAAGAAATCTTTTTGTTGGTGTCCTTTTGTAAGTAATAATGAGACAATTTCTTAGAGGCCAGCTCTAAAAACGAGCGTGGACAGGAGACCAAGGGCTCCAGTTCCCGTGTGCAAAATGACATTTTTTTTGGTCTTAATTAAGGTCAGGATTTGGAGAACCGGCCGTTCACCAGCACCAAGAACTCCTAGGAGTACCCCCCGGGCATTCGGTCTACAGAGCTTAAAGTGGCAGAAAGAATCTTAATCGCTAGGCATAAGATGCAAATTCTTTTAGTCCCATATTTTCCTATGCCAATCTAAAGCACTTCATTTTTTATTTAGTATTGGTTCGCATAAAACTTGGCTTCTCTCTACCCACCACCGACTTTGACGTTTCGATATCTGTTTTAAGTCGAATCTCCCCCCGGGGGGGGGGGGGGGTACTTCCCTATAAGAGGCTAATGGGGATGTGCCGCTGGATGGGGTCGCATTTTCAATGGAGTTACTAGAAATGGGGTCGCACATTTTCTTTATTTTTGGGTAAGACAGTTCTTCATATTTACGATTAGCAAATGTACCAGAATGCTTGTACTGTAGGTGAAAAGTATCTGGTGAGATAGATTGGTAGAATATGAATAGAAAAGTTACCATAAAAGTTGGGATGGCGAAAATTACATATTTGCCCAAAAGTGACTAAGATGCGGAATGGACTATAATAGGGTAGAGGCTCTGACAGGCCAGCTTGTATACCCAGCAAAAATTAACCCAATAACCTCCCCCCCCGGGCGAATCTACCGCACGCGAGCACCCAAACTCAGACCTAAGATTTAGTTGTCAACAATTGATAATTGTGAAACCGTTAACCCAAACGACAGTCGCAGTTTACGAGAGGCGATCGTTTACGAGAGCTTCCGAAGCCAACTAAAGTGACGGTTTGGGAATATTCCTATGTCTTAGATAGGAAGAAGAAGGAAAGGCGTGCTTTTAGTCAATTTGCAGATAATAGTCCACTTTGCTTAAATTGCTTACCTTATTGGGGACTTGCTATTCTGCCTCTATTTTGGTGTGGTTCCAATTCAAAGAAAGGAAAGAATAATAGATGGTGAATTTATTTATTCAAATCCCTTGTTTACGTAGTACTTTTAAGTGCTTTAAGATTAAGATAATACGAAACTTGTGTGTAGTTTCTTAAATACTTTTTTTTGCCGTAACGTGTGCTCGATATGAAACACTGCATCGCAGTTCTCATTACCTATTACTCTCCTTTATTTTTCAGAGAAGAGACCACAGCGAAAATCATAATTCTTCGCACTATTTTCCACCCTGGTTTTCCAGAAAGCGCAGTTCCGGCGTTACAAAAGGAGACTCATGGCTGTCATTGAATCAGCGACAGCCGTGTGACATTGACCGGCACTGCAGAAAGTTGTTTCCAATGGCCTACGCCTTGTTTCTGTCAATATACTTTGTGGTCTACTACTTTGCAGACATTTGAGATTGCAATTTATGCTATAGCCATAATATCACAATAGTATTACCCTACTTGAATGACCGCGGGCCGGACAGGAATTGCTGTATCATGTATTCGCCATCAGACTTGATCAGATATAACACGGTCGGCCAGGCAACGCTTATTTAAAAGTTGTACGCGACAGAGAATTGTTTTAATCTCGGTATTACTATTTTCCGTATTAAACTTACAGAATTAACGTCTTTTAATTATAACTATATCGGGGCTGCGGCGCTTGTTAAATCCCCCCCACAATGCGGTGCTTAAATAAAAGAATGTATGGGAAGCTAGTCCCATACATTCTCTTAACGTTATTCGCTAGTTTTTCCCTGTGCATCTCTTTCTGCGCATAACAAAATGGCCACTCTGAAAAAGAGCATTACTAAAATGAAGTTAACTGAAGAGAAACGCTATTGGAATTTTCGCTCGCGGTTGTTTCTCGCCGATATGAGACTCAATGTGTTGGGAATGGCAATAACGCAACCTTGTTAGATCTTAATCAACAACAACTCGCTCGATCAGTTTTTCTTACATGGTACCATCAGAACTCAGAAGATTATAGAAGTTATGATGCTGATAAGAACTACTGGAGAAAGTGTCAAGTTTATCGGAAGTAAGTATATTCAAGAGAGTCTTATAAACACAACGCCGAATAGACCTGACTATTTTCTTTTTTTTTGCAAGAAAGTCAGGCAAAAGTGTTGACCAATCAGAGCAAACTTTATTTCAAAACAAAAACAAACGACCTCGTTGCATCAAGGTTGGCAATGGGCCCTTAAAATCGCTGTGTGAAAAATACTGCAATTATCTGCTGACCACCACGCAGAGTGACCGCTTTGCCAAGTTGTGAACACTTTGTTTCTCTGTCCCAGACCTCGTCTATCCCCCCCTGAAATAAACCAACATTAGATATACCTAAAAGTGAAAGAAGCATTGTATACCGTATCCGAAAATGGCCCATGGATTCCAAATTAAAGATCATCATCTACTGCTTATCCTGATGGACGCCACATCTTCGTCCGCACAGCGGAAACGACTTTCTTTCTTTTTTCTTTAATAATTTGTTTCTTTTGTTGCCAGTCTCAGATTGTTGTGGGACTGGTTGTTTCGGAAAGTAGGGTCCCGAGTCTTTATTTCCTAGGCGGTATCTTTACAAGATAGGTAGCCCCAGCAATTGTCTAAGGTAGAAGGATCCTACGCCTGGTGCTAGTTATGAGAGCCAACACTGCGGATTATGACATCAGGTGCCTCCTCAACAACATCCATTACCCGCCCCCATGACTTCACGTAGGGCTTTCCACGGCAAGTTCCTCGAGATTTTCCAAAAAGTTTCGCGAGATTTCTCAAAAAATTGCTAAAAAAAGCTATCAAAAGTTGCTTTTTCTAACGAAAGTTGCTCTAAAGTTGCTCAAAAAAACAAAAACTTTTTAAAGCCTGATGCTAAAATATGCAAATTGTACAACAAAAATAAGATTTCTAAGCATTTTTGTGTAATTTTGCGACGTAACCAGTGTTGCTAAAAAAACTTTGCCCTCAATTTAAACCAAAAAATATAGTGAGCCAATAAAATTGTTGAATGACCTTCTTCACCCGAGACACTCAAGGCAGTCGAGCATGAATCTTGGTCCATCACTTTGAATTTTCTCCAAAAACCGCTGACCTTAGCAGCCTAGCAACATTTATCTTGCGCCCATGAGCATGATCTGCCCCAGGGGGAGGATTTGGCTCCTCTTTTTTTTTTACAGGAAATTCATAGATTGTCTACTAAGACATTGTGAAAGATGGAAGAAATGCCAATTTAAGCAGTAAAAGCTGCTCGATGTCTTAGAATTAGAAGATAAGTAGAGAAATTGCTCAGAATGCAAAAAGTTGCTCGAAATACGAGACGTTGCCAAAAAGTTGCAGAGCAACTTGTGGAAAGCCCTAACTTCACGTAACCCTGATCGAGGGGCTGACCGGGTACTACACCCCGCCCACGGGTGACCCGTAGGCTAGCGGAGGGAAGGAGTTGCCTTACTTCTCCTGTTGCATAATTGGTGGAGGATACCCCTACTCCACTACCGTCGGTATAAATCAAACAATTTCTAATATCCCCGTATACCATGTACCTGCATATACCTATGAGCCCTGCCCTAAACTGGTGTAGCCTGAGAAAGCCAAGCTAAAATCAATGCGCTAGATAGATAGGTTTCAAATGCTTCAATTAAATTGGTAAGGGTAAGTAGTATAGGAAGGAAAACATGGTCTCCATTTCTGTTAGGGTAACCTGACTGGTCTGTGATGGATGAGGTAAAAATCTGACAAATTCAGTCCCCTTTTGCTTCTCTCACGTACTTTTTACAGGGGCGGATCCAGGTTTTTTTTTTAGGAGGGGGTACACTCGTCTCTTGCTCTACTTCAACACCAATAAACCACATAGTTTTTTTTTTGCAGAATACCAGTTGTATTAGAAAACCGCAGGTCATCTCGGGGGGGGGTGCACCCCTGCACCCTCCTCCTTGATCCGCCCCTGTTTTAAACGACTCCATTGAATTTTTCTCCGATTGTTTTCGGACGTTAGACGATCATAAAAAAAGGGGTTCAACAAGCTGAATCATTTCACGTAAGTGTCGGAGTGAGCAAGCTCAGTATTCTCAGCACGCTCCGCTTTCCACTCCTCAGACGTGGGCAGCGGTGATTCGCCGCACAAAGGGTAATGGGAAAGGCAGTTTTTACGTAGAGCCTTCCCATGTGCCTTTACGTTTATAACCTTTCCCATCATCCATCATCCTTTCCACTACACACCACAAATGTCCCCGCCTCCTTGCGCCATAAATAGTGCCGAAAATTGCTAAGCCTGTTTACGAGGTAGGACACTGACAAAATTAGTTAACTTTGTAAAAAAAGTTTCAAAGGTTAGGGAAAAACGGTGTCCGGTCCTGGATGATAACAGTTTTTTGATGTTCAGTTAATACGAAAGCTCAATCAATTATTTACTCATTACTTAATGCTTGGTCAACGAAGATGGAGAAGTTTCAAGCAACGATGTTAATGAACCTTGTGAACAAATAAGAATAACGTTGTCTTTGTTTTCAGTCAGTGATACAGGCCACTCGAAAAGAAAGGAAATAAAAATCAGGGCTCACTCAAGGGGAGTCGAACATATTGCTAGGAATGGAATGGTGTTAGTTGATAAGTGACATAATGTATAGGCGAATCTTTGTTGAGATTTCTTGCCTTATTTACGTAGCCTTTTCATTGTTTGATCAAGCTATTAAGTTTTCGTTTCTGAGTATTGGCTGTGCCGAACCATATTAGTTATCTCAGGTTAACGAGCTCTCAAAATTTTTCAACTTAACTTGTTGATACGACGGCGCCTTCTATGGGTTACTTCGCTTGCTAATGAACAAAAGTATACACAGTGACGTCAGCAAAAGCACTTGGAAAGTACCAGTACCAGAGCCTAGTTCCTGATAAGCCTACTAATCAACGGTTTTATTTTTTGCCTATCTAAAGGTTTTTAATTAAGAATTATTTTGATTTGTGGTAAATGATATTGTGAGAAAAGCTGGTAAACGTTCAATAACATTTTTCAAGTTTCAGTTTAATGTTCCTAGAGAAGAAAACTTTGGGTATAGTCTGGCCTTACCCTGGATGAATCTTTAAAGGTTAGAATTGAAAGCTTATAAAGCGAATTAGATCTAGTCGACTTGGAGAATTAAGAATCATAAAAAGAAAAGTTACACTTGGGATCAAAAGTCGCCTACAATTTTATGTCCCTTAGTTTTTTTTATCTAATTTCCAACAACATTTGTGATTTTGTGGGATCCAATGAAACTTTAGCCTGCGAAAACATCCGTTTCTCCTCGCTCTTCGCCGCCGGGGACGTTTCGCAAACGTCCACATCGACGAAGAGCGGGGAGAAACGGATGTTTTCGCAGGCTAATGAAACTTTAAGGGTGATGTTACACGGGAAAGTCGTTTGGCAACGATGATTTTTAGCGCAACACAGCAGTATAATATTGTTGGTGTCGACTCGGCGCCATTGGTAAGTCACTTGTGTCACTGACTGAAAATTATTGTCAATTCGAAGTAAATTTTGTGATATTTCTTTTCAAGTCTAATCAACAGTAAGAAACAAAAGAAATGGCGCCCTAGCGTGCTAAGCATTAACCTGTGTTTAATTGAGGAGTAATTACGCGTGCGCAGTATCTAAACAGGTGCAATGTCGAGCAATGTCAGCGATGCAATTGCAAAAAGTTTCACCGAAATACTACATGATAAACGCCAGTGAAGTTGCATATTTCTAACTTGGTCTGGGGAAAAGTCAATTATCCTAAAAAGGCCAAACCTTGTCGAAACGTCAGTCACTGTCAACAACAACAGTCCTATTCAGGACTACGTTTACCCGGACGATCAAACTCAACCTACTTTTGAAATATTATTTAAGGAAACAAGTTCATTCCTCTGCTCTCCCGGAGCTTACTTTAAGAAATGAACCACAAATTTCAACCTCCGTGGAATTGTAGACACGATAATATGTTTTTCCACCTGCTCACGGCTTCTCAATCTTGTCAATCTTTGAAAGCAATTAACAGCGGGCCCTAAACAGTACCGAAAAGATAAATGATTATATTCAGCTCATTAGCAGATGCTTTTCCTAACTATCGCTTAGTTTGCGTGTGAATCATATCGAGCAGCGATTTCTTTCGTGGAAGCGGGTTATTTTTGAAGGTACGCTAATCTTCAATTTACTTTTGGCGAAATATTTTTAATAATTTGTCATCAATTTCGATTATTTGCAAACTCCAATCGATGTATTTCGCAAATGTCCTATTTCGCGTTGAAAATAATTTTTCTTGGCGTGGATTCCTGTCAGTGGTTCGATGATTAGATAAGATAAAACGTATTTGTCTTATCACTCCACCGATAAAAATGAAGTATTTAACAAGGCTATCAAGTTGCGTGTTCTACAGGTTATTGTGAAGAAACACAGTAGACTATGCCAATTAACGATTAACTCCATAGGCACTTTGCCTCTAACAATTTTTCTCTGTTGCTCTATTTTGGTGTCAAGAAACATGGCTTATAAGGCACAATGTCAATTCTTTTAGCTAATCTGAAATGTCACCCATCTCCTCCACCAACCCACTTCCCTCTAAGCGGGCTGCGCCGCACTAGGAACTGTCCAATTGAAGAGTTGGATAGCGCTATCCACCAGATAAATCGCTATCCACTGGATTGTGATTTATCCAGAGCCACATTAAATGACTGAAATATAAAACGCAACTGCTAATAACAATAAGGGAACACTGAAATCACACAGAAAATCGAAAATTAGATAGACATATCACACGATAGACATAATAAGAAAATGAAAACGGATTGCAATTTTTGTCTGTTATAAAGCTGTAATTTGGCGTCCTCTGTATCAAGATTGAGTAATTTTCTTTGCTAGTGTTATTCACCATGCGTAGATGGCAAAACTAAAAAAAATTGACGAAAATACTTTGATGCAGTCCCTCCACAGGGGGGCGACTTTTGTAATGTCACGTACATGAATCATGAATCGTTTGCACACAGCATCCACAGAGTGTTAAAGAAGCAAGTTGTTCATTGTGGGCCGGATTAAACACAAGCCGTAAGCGTTAAATTTGAATTCAAATCTGATTTTGTAAAGCCAAATGCTGGGAATTATCTTTAATGCTTTAAATGACTAATTCAAAGAACTAACAATGAAAAAAAACGTGTAAACGAGAAAAAAAAAAACAGCTTAAAAATCCAACTAAAAACCACATATTTTTAACATAATTCTACTGGCAAGAGAAGGATTAGCTTTTCTGTGAAATGATTGGACGGAACTAATCGCTAGCGCTTGGGTGACTTAAATATCATTGTCGTGAGCGAACAGATAACCTTGGTAAGGCAGGTAAAAAAATGCAAATTGTTAAAACTATCACCCGAAACGTTCGAAAACTTTCAACGTTAGTGCTTATGCTCGCCGGATAGAATTACTGCTATTTTTGTAAAGTGGTCGCGCAATGACGTCTGACTGTGTTTCTGAAACGATTCCTTGGATTTAGCCTGAGAAACATCCAACATTTCTCGACGCCAAAGGATTCTGCTTCGAAACTTTAACCTTCCGACTTCGGTACTGAACCTATGTTCCAAGTTCTTTAATTTTCACTGATACCATATTGCCTGTTTTATGAGAAAAATGTGAACATATAACTTTTTCTTTTCTTGTAAACATGCCATTTCATTTGTTGTTGTTGTTGCAGATTTGGATTTTGTAAAAAAGCTTTTGAAGATAGATAAAAAAATCGTATGAGCTAGCCTAGGCGATATGCTACTCTACTGAAAGTAACTTTGGGGTCAGTTTTTCTCTCTTGTGGTTCTATCACATGCTTTTATCATTTTCTCATTAGTCTTTTTGTGTTCCATATCCCTTCTCTGAAAACTTTCTTCTGTGCCGACCATCTACCGGCAGCCTCAAGAAATTTCTTGACTTTAGTCCAGACTCACAACTTTCGGCTTCTTTTCTAGGTTAAATGGCTGTCTTAAGCATTCTTTTGTGGCTGTATTTTGTCGACCAGGTCATTTTGGAAGCAGCAGGGAATTCAGACAGGTAGGTACAAGTTTATTGCAGTTTAATTCTGCAAAAAAAGGTTCAGCTTACTTAACAGCCGATGTCAGGTTCAGGGGCGGATCTAGGGGGAGGGTGCTGGGGGTGCGCACCCCCCTGAAATGACCTGCGGTTTTCTAATACAACTGGTATTCTGCAAAAAAATATGTGGTTTATTGGCGTTGAAATAGAGCAAGAGACGAGTGCACCCCCTCCTAAAAAAAATCCTGGATCCGCCCCTGAGGTTAATGATATTCTACGGTTAAGGATCGGTAAGGGTTTGCTTTTAGTTTCAACGAAAATTGATGATTTTATTACTTGACTCCACCTTATGTTGCGTACTTCAGCCGTTGCGATACTTAAAACTTATTGTAGCAAAGTGTTATTCCAATATACCCAGTCCCTGCTAGTTTTGGCTGGAAACGAGCTCATGCACAGATTTCAGAATTCCTACAAGTTTAATGAAGCATTAATTCTAATACAGTAAATTCAGACTCTATTTGTTATCCCTCTATTCAATTCTATTAAATCTTCGGGTGACAAAATGTTATAGTATCTGTTGCAATTTACACGCTGGCTGCAATGCACAGTTTAGGAGGGACAAGAAACAGGAGGTTATTTTTCGATCTTTTTTTGCCGGCGCACTTTGCGTAAAGTACCATGTTTTTGCCCAGTTTTAAACTCTGCCTCCTTTTACGGATTATGCAGCATCTGTTATGGTTATTCCAATAAATCTATTTTACTTTGATTTAACGAAAGTTACTTAATAAGAACTGCCGTAAGATTGAATCATTTCAGCTTCAGTTTGATCTTAAGCATAGCTGGCCAATTTGTAGCAATTTCAACTAGAAACTGTACACTAGCTAGCCAACCCTTTTGCTTTTCAGTGATTTCACAAACAAAACGTTGGGAGCTCGCACTTCCATGATGTTAGAAAAGATGCTGATTGGCTATGACAAGAGACTGCGGCCAGATTTTGGAGGTATATAACTGCTAATCTATATCGCTTTAATGCAAACGTGCAGTTAAACTGAATTTCAGCGTAATTTAAACCATATTAAAATCACTATAAACGATATCTCATTTCCAAAGAAATTGATGGATGCATGCAGTCTATTCAAATACGGTTTTTACTCTTGCGCTTAGAAACCGCAGTTGGCACATGTAATAAAAGTGATTTTTTTGGTCTTGCTTACAGGTGCTCCATGTAAAATCAACATTTCCTTGCACGTGTTGTCAATGGTTCCCATTAAGGAAATCGATATGGTAAGTTTATCATCTACCTTTAATCAAGATACCGAGACTATGTCCCTGTTTTTCTTTCTCGCTAGCAACTACATTACTCGTCAAATTTTGTTGAAATACCAGACTAAAACTGAAGTTTTTCCACCTAACACCTTCTCAACCGACTTATCTATCTTTTATCTGTGTGTACTATTTCTTCCCTTCGCCATTGTTGAGACTAACGTTTTTTCGCAAATGGGTAGCAAATAAGGTCATGATTCAACATTTTAGAGGGCGTAACGTCACAAGTTTTTCAACAAATGTAACGACTTTTGTATCTCCAATCAGGAAAGACAACTCTGTATTCAGTAGATATTAACATAACGATCCTCACGTTCACGCTCTTGGCATCACAGTTTTGCATGTTTTTCCGCGACTAGTAACTGGTGACTTCTGTCAGTTCCGAGCTTGGCGAGTCGTACCCGTTTAAATTTTCCAGCGCTTAGCAGCCGTTGCGTGTTTTTCACTCACGTCATCGCTTCGAGCTTTAATTCAGCCAGGTTATAAGAGTTCGAAGTAGAACTTAGTGTAAACCTACATATTTTGTCCCAGGCCACTGCCCAAACGCACTCGGTCTTTGTTATGGTAGAACAGTCAAACCTCCACTAACAACCATCTCTCCACAAGGGCCACTTTCTTCTGTTCCCAAGGGGGCCATTGTGGAGGAGTTCGACTGTAGATGCTAGGATGGTCACAAATATTTAGTTTTATCAAGAGTGAATAAAGTCAATTACCAATGAAGAAAATATTGAACAGCTGACGTCTCGACCACTAGCTCTTCGTCAGAAGCGAATCCTGATCTTATCCAGCCAAGTCTCTAGGCATTCTCGGCTCGGTCAATCCTGGACTTTACCGTGATCTTTGACGTCACCAAGAGAGTCGCCAACCCTTTCCCAGAAAAGGGACAAGAGTAGGCTGGATCATCCATTTTAGGCCACAGGATACTTTAGTGCTCTAAAAACACCAATCTGCACATTTAAGGCCGCTGGGTAAAATGGTGCATTAATTGGAATCTGCACAGAATCTATGACCATTTACCAGCGAAGAATGTCTCAAAGGATATGTCATGATAAGGAACGGGTGAACATTAGTAGCCAAAGACAAGTTCAGAAGCATACGCTTGTGACATGTTTAGGTATTTTGCAATATTTTGAACCCTTTCGTCCAGACCAAATATCATTCGAGCCAATTCTGGAATTCCGCCTGCGCTTTTCCATTCATGATCCTCTTAGCAAATAATGGCTTTTTTAAATTCCAGGAGGTGACGATCGTTATGTTCTTCCGTCAACATTGGCTTGATCCTCGTCTAGCATATGGTTCTTCACTGGGAATTCCAAAGATGAGGCTCCTCGGGAACATAGTCGATCAAGTTTGGCTACCGAACACTTTTTTTGTAAATGATTTGAGCGACACAAAGCCGAGTAAAGATTTCTTGTTTGAACTGACTGAAGAAGGACATATTACGTACAGTCACAGGTGCTTAGAAATCTTTTTAACTTAATTCTTTTCACTTGTTTTTGAAAAAGTTGACTTCTTAAAAACAATTCCATTGGCATCTCTTGTCAACAAATTAACTGTTTACTGTAGTGCTATAAAGAAGATACTATTATCACGTTTTTGTCTAATTATGTTCAGGAAATCACTTCGCCTTTACTGTCCTATGGATTTGCGAAAATTTCCCATGGACCAGCAAATTTGTGAAATGGTATTTGAAAGCTGTAAGTATTTCAATACATACAAAACATTACTTTTTCATATTTATATTCAGAACTGCCACAGCAATGTGGTTGCGATCCTCGTGGTCAGCACCATTGTACTGAGAGTTCTGCCTGGAACCAGGATAACACACAAACGCACTAGTTTCCCATTTTTGTAACCGATGGTCCGTTATTGTTTCAATGTCGCCCCCAGCGCCTGCATTACCCTTATCCAGCAGAACAGGCGATCGGAACGAGATTGTCTTTGTTTCAAATTTCTGAGTCTGCGCAGAAAGCCCGAAGTCTATGTTTTGCGGACTTCCTGCTTCGGCCTTAGACAGAACTCTCGATCCTTGGCGCTGGTCAATGATCGCAACTTTAGAGACGAGAATGCTGTAACAATATCGTGTGTAAGAGAAAGTGTAATATGAATCCTTGCAAATTTTACTCAGCCTTATGCTTTTGGTTATGTTGTACGTGCAAAAAGTTGACAGAATCTGCAACGTGCAAGTTTATCCTGGTAGCTTATTTACCTTTCTTAGATTCATACAATGATGAGGATATCTTCTACTCCTGGCTAAATCAAAACTCCGTACGAATAGACAAAAAGGTTCAGATACCTCAGTTCACGCTGTTGGATTGGCGACAAAAATCTTCTCTTCACGAGTATGCTACAGGTACTGATTCAGTCTGTAACTGTTATCCCTGTATGAGTTATCACGCATCCAGGGACTGGTCTCCCAGAGTTTTGTTTGTTTTAATACAAGAGAGTAATGATTGATGTTGTAATATATTAGGGGGACTCAGCAGCTACCATGGTATTTGCTATTTGGCATATTAATTCCTTTGCTGTCTGTGGCTGTGTTTGTGTATAGTGTGAGCTCGGTCTTGCGGTCACCACTTAAGAATAATTCAGCTCGAGGAAAATTTGCCCAAAATTTGATCGAGTTGGAAAAGTCTCGATAAAATCTGAAAGAACGCGAATAAACCAGGTGGCCTTAAAAATGTTCCAATAAAGTATTTACCTTCAAAACGAATCCCCGAACATAATGGTTAAAAAAGTGAACTTTCATGTCCCGGGTTCAACTCTGCCGCGAGAGTAAAATAATCAGGGGCACCCTAGCATTGTTAAACGTATTTTGGTATTTAAACGGTAGATATAGGCATATTTTTATCCCCCAAAAATTTTTCATCTGTTCGGATTTCCTAGCTGAAAGTCTAGTGATCCGAAAATTATAGGGATCAAAACTTACCTTTTCAAAAATTTCAGCCAGAAAAAGGGCTCCCGGAAATTCTAGGTGACCTTTTTAGGGTAAAAATCCGTTAAAAATAGGCAATTATACCATATTTTAGATGTTCGAAAATCCTAGGAGAAGCAGGCAAGCAAGAAATTTTACAACAAATGTTCCGAAAATTCTAGATCTCAAATCGTCCTCCGAACAGATATTTTCCCGAAAATTGTCGTTGGGTGCCCCTGAATGATTATAATCATTGCCCGTTTGCCCTGCAAAATATTAATAATGGTTTTATTTATCTTCGTTTAAGGGAATTTCAGTACACTGGCAGCAGTTTTCCGTTTCAAGAGACAACTAGGTTTCTACCTTCTTCAAGAATTTATTCCGACCATTTTGATCGTGGCACTAAGCTGGGTTAGCTTCTGGATCGATAAAAGATCGGTACCCGCTCGAGTGTCCCTCGGAATCACGACAGTCCTCGCCTTGACGACGCTTATGTTTGGGATCCAAGCCTCCCTGCCAAGAGTTGGTCACGTGAAAGCAATTGATGTGTTTTTGCTGGGTAGTTTCATCTTCGTATTTGCCGCTTTGGTGGAGTATGCTATCATTTGCACATTCTCCAATTTGTTTTCGTCTGGAGCAAATCCAAATCTAAAGGGGTATTTTCAAAGAAGAGTTATACCGACCATGATATTTGAGGAAAACGAAAACTTGGAAATAACTAGTGGAGAAAGCGATACGTTCCATCAAGTCTTTGAACGAAAACAAGTAGAATTTCAGGTGAATGTTTTATTATTTTTGGAGTTGCTGCGCGAGTTACTTGGTAAGACGGTTCCAATAGGGTTCTTCCATCCCTTCACCCCGACCCAAATTTTAGCGCAATCCCCTTATTGCGACCCAAACTTTCGCGCAATCCCGTCATCCCGACCCAATTTTTCGCGAATTCAAGTTATCTCGACCCAAATTTTCGCGCAATCCCGTCATTCCGAACCAAAATTTTCGCGCAATCCCGTTATCCCGATGGCTATTTTGGACACACCACTATACGTGGAACCTAAAAATCTGCAATTTCCACCCCTAAGCGAGACAAAGAGCATCCCCGTCACTTTTATTTGGGAGTTCCCTTTCCACCCCCGGGAGATAGCAGCTGAGGAATGAAATTCGAGGCTGACCACTGAGATTATCATTAGCATCATCATAAAACCCTGTCCCTAAAGTTCTAACTTTTTTTACTGTCATTTGGTTTGTAGAAAAGAAGTCATAACGCAAAACACGATTCTCTCTTGAGTAATTTATCATCACGATTTTCCGGAAAGCTTAATTCCGACGTCAATACAGGGCAAGCGTCCGTGCACCAGCGACAGCGGTGTGACATTGACCAACATTGCAGAAAGTTGTTTCCAATGGCCTACGTCTTATTTTTGTCAATATACTTTGTAGTTTACTATTTTGCAGACTTTTAACGTTTTATATTATGCCCGGTTTGTAAACAGTCTATATTTAATGCTTTAGTTGAATCTTGACACTAGTCAAAATTTTCCTCAGCTTGCCTATCACAATGAAACAGTCAAGAAACAGTTTTTTGGTACGCCTTTTTTTTATTGCCCCCTATCTAGAGTACTTCCAAATCTAAAACAATAAATATATTTACTACTCGTCAATAGTAATGGTATGATAAACGTCTTAATATTTCCGACATTTCTACTCTTACAAGACCCTAATTTTCGACGATCAACGTAGGTGGGAAACATGACTTTGATATGCCTCATGCAGTCTGCAGTCTGCAGTCTGCAGTCTGCAGTCTGAAGTCTGCACTCTGCAGTCGACTGCAGTCTGCGGTCTCCAGTGTGCGGTCTGCAGTCTACAAATGTCATACACCGCAAATCTTCTCCTGCGAGGATTTACAGTCGGCGTTCTTGTGTTTGCTGTTCTGCCATTTATACGAGGAAAAATAAGACGCGTCTTAAATAAGACGCGAACTGTACCATTTACACGAGCATGTCTTATCTAATAAGACGCGTCTTAGCTAAGCCGCGTCTTATTTTAGACGAAATGTGCCGTTTATACGGAAAGTTCGCGTCTTATTTTTCCTCGTATAAATGGCCCTATTGTTTCGCAGACGATGAATAAACAAGTCAGCTCTTCATGAATACTTTGGTTGAGATTGATGGAAAATCACTTTTAGTCGAATGTTGCCTAGAAACAAAAAATGCGCCGTGACGTCAAACTACTGTATGACGTTATGGCGGACACCATCGGATATATACAGGGCGGATAAAGGTTCGGCGGTGAAACGAGCGCGTCCGAAGAAAAAGGTGTGATGCAGTGGACTGGGACTCTGCTTAGAAATGTCGCTTGTTTTCGACTTCGGTCAGGGCTGGCGATGTGGTTTGTACATTAGACACTGCCGCTGTCACTGAATTATGGCGGCTTGATTTGTTTGCTTGTACTTCTTCCTCGTTCCTTTGTGCTGGTACGCTGTCTCCGAGAGGCAAATGTTGCTATTTTTTGCGGGAGGTTTAGTTGGAGTAGACAAACATCTCTTTCAAAGGGTTTCTTTTATTACTTCCATGAGTCTACCACTGAATTATATTTTCGTTCTGCTACTCGCCAAAGTCGATGTTATTCCAAAATAAAAAACAACTAAGTACTGTCTAATCCATGGCAAAACTACTAAGACAGCAGATCGTGTTTCATAACTAGATGACGTGTATTTTATAAATGCGTGCAGCTCGTGCAAGGTGAAATTATGCTAATTTCAATCACCATCATCTTTCTTTTTAATTTTGAAAAAAAACATCTCATACGTCTTTCTGTTTCTTCGAAACTTCAAAATTAGTTTCCCCTAAGTTTTTACTGTTTACCTTGTTTTGTTTTAGAGAGAAAAACGGAGAAAAAACCTTACAACTAACCTCAACAAATTTTGTTTACATTCGGTTGCCGGATTTGCGACGCATTGCGCGAATCGCCATGGCGCGTTGCATCCGAGAAGCAAAGTTTGAAGCAGTACAACGCCGCTATATCAAAATATATCAATCTAATTTTTTGTTATGTTACATAAAATTTATCCCCCTTTAACATATGTAAAAATTGAGGTTAAGAAGTGTTAAGCTTTTGCAAACGAAACGGCGAAAGACGATTTGGTGATATTTAGTGGAAGGAGGAGGTATCCAACGCTTTCAAATTAAACTCAAATTTTGGCATTATACGACCAACAAGTTTGACTTATAGGCATACAGACACAAACATATGAAACTGTTTATTGATATTGTTATGTAACGAATTTATTTATTTCACATTGTAGCCTGAAATTACAGAAAGAAAATGGGATTTCCGGTTTGCAAAAAGGAAAATTTCGCCGGCCTTCAAGCGCACCGGAAGCGCGGAAAGAGCGCTCGTGCCAGTCCTACTCCGCATCACACATTAAACGAAGAGCGGAGCGCTCGTTTCACCGCCCAACATTTATCCGCCCTGGATATATACAAGTAAAGATGAGCGCTGCGAGTTTGCAGCTCGCTAGGATCCACGCGCGGTCCATGCATTACGCGCGCTTCGTGCGCGACGAGATTATAAACTCACTTCGATCGGGGCTTGGCGCCTCGCATAGCGAGGAATAAACTACATTTTTTCAGTTTTATATTTATTGTGCAATTTTTGTTTGCTAGCCGTAATTTAGACCCCATCCACACGTACCACGATATTTTTGAATCCGCAACTTTTTCTTTCCGGATACGGCTTCCGTCCACACGTAACGATCTTACTGGCAGATGTTCGGTGGGGTGTCCGGTGTATCCGGCATTTGAATTCGCAACTTTTTGAATCCGCTTTCCAAAGTAAAAATTTTTTAATACGCTATGAATCCGAAATCGTGTGCACGCTAAATCTAGATTTTTTTTTATCCGGTAACGTAAAAGGATCCAGTCCAGTTCTTTACCGTGAATACTGTATTCATTCTATTTAAGATGGCAACCCTCATTTCCAGGTAAAAGAACCTTGCTCTTCGCATTTTCCTTTGATTTCTGGGCTGATTCTACCATAATTCGAGCGATAAAATCGAGAATCATGACACAAGGCAGAGCAAGATGCAAACTTCGCCCGCTTTTCGACGCATGCTCTTTTGCCAATATTCCCAAAGGAGTCCTGCGGCCATACTAGAGTGCATCCGGATACGTGTCGGATACGTGTGGACGGGCCAATTCGATTTGAATATGGATACGTGTAGACGTGGAAATTTTGAATCCGGAAGAACGGTTCCGGATTAAAAAACATCCGGACACGTGTGAGCTAGGAGGTGGGGAGATTACGGTGGCCCGTAAGGGACATTACAATATATTTTTTCCCTTAAGCTATCGCGCGATAAGTTTAAATTATCGCGCGATAATTCAAAGTTATCAGTCATTTTATCGGGCGATTATTAGTCAGTTTATCGCGCGATAAGTCTGAATTATCGCGCGATAAATGAGAACATTTAAAAATTATCTAGCGATAATTAGTCAGTTTATCGCGCGATAAATGAGAAAATGTAAAAACTATCGCACGATAATTAGTCAGTTTGAGAAAATGCAAGGAGTGACAGGCCGCACATCTATACCGGCGTGAAACCTTGTGTAGACCTTTTATATTTTAGCTCTAACGAGCATGTCCTTTAGGGATTTTCCTTTCTTCTTGGTTCTTTAAAAATTTGGCGAAGTAACGGTTGGTTTTGTGTAAGATTCCATTTTTTCAGTAAAACTTCTTTTAAAGTAGACACTGAGGGCTGGTACTGTGTCACGAAAGGCAATATTTTTTTTTCCTCTTTGTTGTTGTGTTTCAGGAGTGCAGACTCCCTCTCTGTGAACTTTATATCTGATAGAAGGTTTTTTATCATAGTTTGTGGGTAGCCTCTGTCAATCAAGCGTTTTTTGAAATTTGAAATATTTTCCTCAAAAGTAGTTTTTGAGGAGTTTGTTCGTAGGATTCTCAAGGCTTCTCCTTTGACAAATCGTTTTTTAACACTCGGCGGGTGACAAGAGGTGAAATGTGTGTACTGGAAGGGAAGAAAGTCAGAGGGGGTGATGTGGACTTCAATTCTCTGCTTAGAACTTGCTCAAGTCTTAAGCATCCTCTGTCATGTAGATCCTTCAAGCAGCTAGAGTGTATGGCCAAGTCGAGTGTGTCTTTTTGATGGACTTTGAATGTTTCTCTGCTAATCAGGAACCAAGAAGAAAGTCACCTTAAGAGAACCATGGGTAAGAGCTCAGTTTCTTGGCAATATTTACTTAAGTTGAGTCAGTTTAAGGTGTATGGCCTCGAGGAGCCAGCTGGTGCGGTTTTATAAATCCGGCTAGACATAAATAAACTAAACAATTTAACAGGTGATAGGTTTCATTGATAAATAATGTCTACGAGCAACCAGTTAAATTTAGGGAGATCCGTGTTAATTGGATTCCAGACTGGAAAAATTAATTATTCTTTTCATTTTCTTTATTACACGAATCTTTTTGTTATAATCATTGTCACCATAAGGCTCTTTATTTCTCATTTCAGAATGGAGAACTCATCCACCACCTTCGGCTTCCATAATATGTCTTCGCCCTATCTTCCTTCGAAAGCCGAGGGCATAGCATGGTGCAGTGCTTTAACATTGGAAGCAGTTTTAATTGTTTTAGCAAACTTGCTCGCTCTTGCTCTCTTCGCTGTTAACAAGAGACTTCGTAAGAGAAGTTTGTTTTTGGTCATTAACATGGCGTTTGCTGATTTGCTATCCGGAGCTTTGTCCCTGCCCATTTTCATTTACACCGTTGGAGCTGGTTTCATGCTTTGGAAAGCTCGATTCAACAAGACGTTTTATGCTTATCAAGTTTTTGGTCAAACCGTTGTCTTACAGGCGTCACTATTTTCTGCGTCTTTGATAACTTGTGAGAGATTTTACGCTGTCTATTGGCCTCTGAAGCACAGAACTTTGTCAGTGGGGGCGTACCGCGCAGCTATTTTTATGGTTTGGATAATAGCGATCCTTTTTTCTATTCTTCAGCTGTTAACTTCCGACAAACCTGCTTTTTACACGTTTGTTTCGATCTTGTTGATTCAATTATTTACACTATGTATCGGTAACATCGCTATTTGGAGAAGATTTCAACGAAGAATTGCATCGCAACAACAAAACCGAGAAGCACAAAATCGACGTCTGACAAGGACCTTGCTTTTAATATCCGCTGTCGAGATCTTATCTTGGCTTGCTTTGACTATAAGTAATCTTCTAGTTATTGCTTTTGAGGTCCCCATCCCTTTAGAAGTTTTGTTCACTTGTGTCGCCGTAAATTATTCAAACTTTTTCCTAAATCCAATCACTTATGCTCTAAGGTTTCCGGAGTTTAAACAAGCACTAGACTTTTGTTGCCATAGAAGTCATGATGCAACGATGAACGTAGAGGGCAGTGCTCGTAATAACAACGTGGGCTCTAATGCAGACAGGATTTCTGGGATGCAAACATTGGGTTTGTGTTGTTGTAGAAGTAGGAATTCGATGAACACTAGAGAAGGTGGTGAAAGAAATTACAGAGTTCACAGTTTGAGACCAACGACATTGTCAACTAACTCTAGTGACTTACAACTTGCGTTTGAACAGGAAGTTATGGACACAAGATTATAGTCTCACGGTGTGATTGAGTATTCAGTTTTCATGGAGTGATGAAGAAAAAACCTGTTGTAATTATTTTTGTTGTCTTGTGACTTTTTCAGTGCAGTCAGAGGTACCCCAAGTTCATGAGTGAAAATTGTTGTTGCGTAACAGAAATATTATAAGGGCTTTTTATAAGGATTATAGCGATCGTTATTTAGGGGTAAAAAATAGCAGTAAACCTACGTCGGAACTTCTCAAATTGTCGCCTTGTTTTATTATGGTGCATTATTAGCATTTTTAGCCGTTTTATTATCCAGAAATATAAGAACCTGTTAGCCCAACCAAAATCAAGAAGGTTCTTATGTTGGTTATAGTTAAATTATGATGAGCGAATTTTAACCAGGGAGTTCGACCTTATATTGTTATCTCTATTTCTCTTGTAATAGAGATAACGCTACATTTACATTCTGTTCCCAGTTAAGTTAGGCCTATCATTACGCAGGTATGAATAAATACTGAATATCTCAAGATCAAACTAAAGTTTCTTTTTTTCTGGCAGTAAACAACTATATCCTCTTCACACTAAAAAAAGTAAGAACCTAATAAAGAACCTACTTCGCCTAAATTGCGAATAACTAAACCAAAAAGCAAGAACCTTTATTGCTGGAGTTAAAAAAATTTAGGTTCTTACACTCGGGTTTTTACTGTATTATCAAATTTGCTGGGTAGAGTAGATTTATTTACAATTCGCCAACAAGAGCGCTGCAACGTATGCTAATCAAGCCCTTTATCTCGTCGTCGACTAAAGCTATCCCCGTGAACTTGTCTTTGAGCAAAAGATACATTTCTAATTAGAGTTGAGCCTGCGATCAGTTGAAAACTGGAAACTTGTCAGCGGTAAACTTCATGAAACACGTAACCTCGATGGGTCGACACCTCAGCGTGCGATACGGTAGGGTGATACTAGTCAGTGGATACTTTGTTTTGACAGCTGTCAATTGACGACAACATGGATGTGCAATATCAGGTTGCAGGCTCCCACACTAGCTAGAAAGTAAAGGGGGGAATTTCATATATCCCATGATACTTCGCGGCAAATTTCTGTCTTCTCTCCGCGGTGGAAACAGCGTTCGAGGGTTTCGAGGGAGATTTTCAACGACCTGAATTTCAAGATGCAGCTCATCCAAGGTAAGTTTCAATGAGCCCTGTTAATCTTTGGTATCTTATTAATAATGTAAAATGGTTCCATGGTCATTTCACGCATTATTGCTCTCATTTACGACCCTGTTAAGCCATGCTGTTTCAACTCGCGAGTGAATATTTATTTAGATGACTTTCAATTATCGAACACTGTCTTTATTCTAGAAAGGTTTTGCCCTAATAAATTATTGAAATCGGCGGACAAGGGGTGCTTGATACTAGTTCCACGTTCCGACCTCTTTCGACCTCGCGATTTTTATGGGTTTGATCGTTTTGAAATATCGCATTTTCTGCCCTATCTCCGCTAAGATGCAAGACGAAGGTTTCAATTTCTTTATGCTAAGTCCTGCGAATATAGGACATTTTTTCTTGAATTCGCTCTTTTTTTGCTGATCAAAACACAAATATTATCTCTTGAGGGTATGATGAATGTTTAAATTCAATGTTTTATAGTTATTAAAGCTTTTTTCTCTCATTATTTTAGGTAAAATTGGTTTCTCATGGTGGCTTCCGGTCGCAACCGCGCGTGGCGAACTTGAAATATACAGGCCAGCAAATGTCATGGAATAGCACGCCGTAGGACCTCAACCGGCGTATAAAACCTCTTAAGACATTTTGATAATTCTTTTAGGATCTATTGTAGTGAAGAAATGGGTGTTTTTGTATATGTATTTTGCCATTTCTTAATAAAGCTTTTTTCTGTTTATGTTTGACAATGATGCTTAGTTGGTGTTGTGTTACGAAAAATAAAGAGATGACTCTGTTATTTTTATTGTTTTTTGGAGCTATTTCCCTCCTTTGAAATTTATCTCCGATAGACGTCACTTTGCACTTTAACGGTCTCGGTATTTTCGACTACATAAGCCAAGCTTGTTGAAGTAAAAGCATGTGCGGTCACCGTACGGTTGATGTACTGCATCGATGAATTATTATTGAACTGACAATATGAACTCCGCGATCACCAACAAGCAACGAAGAGAAATCTCACACCTAGAATATGTATTTATTTCGAGACAAGTACGTGGAAATCGCTTGTTAATCCATGGAGAGCTTTATCAACGCACGTTAAAACAGGACGTACTGAAGCAAAGACCTTCCAAGCTGGCTTCTAAGAACATTTGTGTGGACTGCGTTGCTATCGTAAGGCTAGTTAACTCATAATCGGCGGCCAAAACACTCTCTTTGACTTAACAAGACATATATTTGGCGTAGTAAAACGAAAATCGTAAATAGATCGACATAGCAAAGGTACAGAAAGTGTTATCGGCAAAACGAGTCGCTTTCCACTGCTATTCAACTGTCCCTGTTGAAATGATAGCATCACGTGCGTTCGGTCGCTTGATAATATAGTATGAAGCGATGCATCATGGGATATATGAAATTCCCCCCTTTCTAGAAAGTGTAACATTTGACATTGATTTCCCTGTGGTGCGGACGGACGGGCGGGCTGGTGGACGTACGGTTTAAAAAGCAAAAGGTGCTTTTTGCCAATGAGGAAAAAAAAATGCGTCCAATCAAAAGTCGTATAGAGGTTCGTTAGTTTCGCGGCAAATTTCCCGCTTTTATAGGGGCTTAAAAGACCCTCGCTTCGCGAGTTGTTTCGCTGTCATTCAGCGAGGAAGCTTGAAAATTCCATAAACCCGCCCACTCGCACACTTAACGAAGTATTCTAAACCTCCCTTTTGTACAATTTACTTTTCAGCTTGGGTTAGTTCTCTTAGAGTATCCAAATACTACTTATTTTTTCCACTCGGCGCCATACTCAACGAACGCTTTGGATGCTGGGTAGTCACCCTCCTTGGTACCCTGGCCTGCTACGTAGGCTTACTGACCTCATCGTTCGTCTCCAGTCTCCCGATGTTGTACTTGACCTACAGTGTGGTGTGGGGCATGGGTGCGTCTTTCGTATACTTTGCTGATTTGTTGATTCTGACGAAGTATTTTAAAGTGAGGCTAGCGTTTGCCAATGTGCTAATGGCCCTCGGTGGCGCAGTAGGTGAATTGAATCCCTCTATGCAGCAAATGTTTATCCATTTTGGACTTGCAAACATGTTCCGTGTTCTCTCTTTTCAGCGCTTCTGATCTTATCCGCATTTTCTCTGGTTTATCGGCCAAAGCGCGGCGTCTTTCCGCATAATAATGACGCTATAGACATTGAATGTGACAAAAAGTGCACGTTTGACTCAGGGGGAAATCTTGAAAAATAAAGCGTTTATCATGTGGATTGCTGTCATTTTTATCTTCATGCTCGGATACATGGTCCCCTTTGTTCATTTGGTGAGTATTTTTGTAAAAACGTGATTAGAACGGGGAGAAGCACTAAGTAAAAGGAACATTGATCTTTTGACCATGCATGATAGAGGGCAAATCTTTAAAGAGGGGCATTTTCAAAGCAATAAGATGATTAATTTCGCATTCAGAGTTTGGCAGAGTGATACCAGTGACACTTAATGCCTCATCTTCTTTTCTTCTTCGGTGGACAAGTCAAAGGCCTCTAATGGGGACAGTCCCTAATCAACTGTATTCGTGGCAATGATAGTGTTCCTGTGATCTACATTAATACCTTAAGCCGAGTTAGACCCATTATTTCATCTAGAAAACATCTAATTTTTTGAGTGACCAGTCAAAAAACTGGGCATCAGTTTGTTTTAAGCCCTGGAATTTTCTGCGGGTATGGTTGGCCGATACAAATAAGTAAACAATTTAATGATTACTGAAAAGCAAAAGGTTGCTGACCAAAACAATCCTACACTATGAGCAAGCTCTCTAGGGGCTCCATGGGGTACAGGGTTGAGAAAGGGAAGAGGAGAAGGAGGAGGGAAGGAGCTTGCACTCACGTCTGATAAATTTAAACACTGATCTGCGACCCAGGATGGGATGTAAATGCTGATTGGCTGATTTATAATCCGGCGATGACGTAATGCTCCCCAGAGAGAGAGCTTGCTCTCCCTCCTTGTTTGCTCCGCCGCCAGAGTGCCACGGAGAGCTAGCTCGCTAGCAAAAACAACCCTAAAGACCTTTTTTTCTTGGTTTTCAGGTTCCCTTGGCTGAGGACATTGGAATTGACAAGACACGTGCGTCCCTTCTGCTTACGTTCGTCACAGTCGGTTCGGCATTGGGTCGTATGACCTTCGGTCGAATCTCGGATTTCCGAGGCTTTAATCGTGTGTACGTTGCCGAGGTGGCTTTTTTAGTTGCAGGATTGAGCAACTTTGTTGTGCCTTTGACGGAATCGTATAACGTGTTAGCAGTAGGAGCCTTTATATTTGGTCTGTTTGGAGCTTGTTACCTGATTCTAAACCCAGTCATCGTGTGTGACATTCTAGGCCCCCAAAAAGTGTCCTATGGCTTGGGCATTACTTTTTTTGTAATCGCTATCCCTCGGACTTTGGTAATAAAAAGTGACGCACAAGATTAAAAGCAACAACAAACAAATTATAAGAGAATTAACTTTGAATAGGGGTTATGCATCAGTCAATTCCACCTGCGCCCAGGCCCCCCCGGGCTGACCTCCGGGCATTAGCATTTTTTTGCCTTGGATGGCAAATTCCCGGAGTGAGGACTCTTGAGCTGTCAAATTCCCCGGGGTGGGGACGAAAAAAGAAGGCAAATGCTCCGTCCACCGTCAACACTGCAACATTTTTCATTGATCGCACAGTCAAATAGCGCCGCTTTAAGCATTTTAATGTGCGATTTGTTTGGTTTAATTAACGTCTTCCTTTGTAATAGCGCGAGGATTCTAATTAAGACTTCATGCCGCGACGACATGCACCAGTTTTAATATGGTTTTAGTATTGGTATACAATTATTGACATTAAAATTAATAGAGC